GTTATGAAACTAAATACAAGAATTATATCAAACAGCACCAACTGAAGCATAAAGATCCTTCGCAGGTTCAAATGTACAGGTGTTACGACTGCGATTATATAACCAGATATAAAAATAATATCGCTTCACACGTGTTGAAGCACAAGAAGCTCCTGCAGGAATGTAATGACTGCGACTATAAGACAATAAATAAGAGCCATTTCCAAAGACACGAATTAAACCATAAACGTGCCGCCACAACACAAATGTACGAATTATGTGATTACGTAACAAAGGACAAGGGAAATCTTACTAAGACACGAGATTAATGCCAAAGCACTACAGTACAGGTGCGATGTCTGTGATTTCAAAACAAAATCTAACGCAAACTATCACTCGTAAATTAACTCACAAAAATCGTTCGAAAGCACAATTGTACTCGTGTGACACCTGTGAATATGAAACTAAAAACAAGCGCAGTGGTAAATATCACGTGTTGAAGCATAGGAAGCCTTCGCAAATGCAAACAATCTGGTAAGTATGTACGAGAATGCACTGTCTGTGAATATGAGTGCATAAGAAAAGTTTCATCCTTCATATGTTGAAGCTAAGATGTGTCACAGGTTCAAATGCATCGATGTGATTTTGAAATCAAACATAACAAGTCCTTGAGGAAACATCAAGTGATGCACAAAAAATGTTTGTTTGTGGGAAGGATCTCCGTTGAAGCACAAAATCCAGTCAAAAATTGAGGCATTTACGAGACCACCAGTAAATATAATAAATAAAATGACTGGCCTGTCTTGAAGAACATCAATTAGTTTACATTGTGCTTTTGTAACCAAGTGTATTAATATAAATCCGTTATAATATGCACCTTTTTTTGCCTATATGTAAAAAATATCACTTTCCCATTACCAATATTCAGAGTGAATCTTAAACTGTACATGTATTTTAATCAGTGATAAAGTTCAATATGTAGAACGTGCAATTCGTATGTTTCTTTTTGCAAAAAAAATTGAATAAAAGAACTAATGCAAAATATATGTGTATTTTTTTAAAGAGAAATTATTGCAAGGGGTCCATGTCTGGGAAAAAAAACAAAAATTGGGGGTGCATTACATGTAAACGGGGGTCCACGAGAATGGATTTCATTTAAGCAGGTCAATTCGAGATCAATGAAGGGATCATTCTTCGTCGTCGGGTCAAGTCGATAACATAACTGCTTTGAATTTTAATGAATGCTAATTGTTAGAATATTCTGTTAAGTCAATCAACCTATTATACAGGGTGTTTCATAATGATGTGCAAATATTTTGAGGTGTTTAAGAAGTAATTTTAGGGGGGGGGGTACTTCCAATACATTTTTTACTACTAAAAAATACCATTCACCCAGTTGTTAACGTGTACCAAAATTCAAATTTCTAAGTTGAACCGTTTTCGTGAAAAAAAAATAAAAGCTATTTTTCTCGTCCATTTTGGGTGATTAAAGTGACGTTCACTACCACTAACGTTTATTTGACTTTTAGTATTGTTCTAGTTTGATGTATTAAACAAATGTTTATTCACTTACGAATTCTGTCCAGTACTTTCTCTATGTAATGCAAATAATTACAAATAGTCCACAGATACTATAATGTTTTCTATATTTTGCTTTGCTCCTTTACTTGAATTCATTGAGTCCATGATTCTGTGTTTTTCCTACTATCTTATTAGAGCTTCCAAATCTTGACTATAATGTTATATTAACTGGTATTTTCCTTTGGAAAAGTATTTGGTTGACACTGGACTGATTTTCATTGATTATTTTATATCTCCAATTATATTAATTTCTGTCAGATTGCAATGACATCTCACCACCCCCTTTTTTCCTTTATAAAAAAAAATCGATAATTCCATCCCCATTGCCATACAAAACTTTTAGATATGTATAGTGTCCCACTTTGATTTCTTCACATCCGATTAAATACCATGTCTTGATATTCACATATCTTAAAATTTTGTATCACTTTCCTGTATTCACACGCGTTTTACCTTATCTAAATTTTACATAATTTATAATTATACTTTACAATATTTCTATAACTAATAACAATATCTGTTTTACATTAATTTTCCAAATGTCAAATAAATAAATCTAATTATTTTAAATTTTATCTGAAATTCCTTATATATTTCAATATATTAATTTTAGTCCAGGTGGTATCTGTTTTAAAAAGGGTATACTTGGGTAAAACGCATATGATCGGAGATTTTTGCTTTAACGGCTACTAAATAACATCAGAAATGATAATTTTTCTATGCAAATAAAAAAAACGTAGGCTTAATTGTTATTGCAAAAAAGTAGAAAAAAAAAAAAAAAAAAANCAAAAAATTTGCTTTTATTTTTTTTATTACATTTTTAGTTCATATTTGCTTAACTTTTCCTATTGATAAAAAAAGAATTTTTGCAAAAAATGCGTCAAAAGAGACAATCGTTTTTGGTAACTGTTATACTAATTATGGGTACCTAATCGGCAAGGAAAAATAATTTACTTTTTTACTTGTAGACCATTAAGTATATGAAAAAAAAGATTCTAAATGAAAATATTAAAAGCTATTTTTTTGTTGTTGGAATTGGCTAATGTAGAAAAAAGTTGACAGAGAAATAAAACCAAGGGGTGCTAATTTCTTTCATTCAAAGACATAAACCAGAAAAAAAGACTACCAAAAAATACCATTCAACCAGTTGTTAACGTGTACCAAAATTCAAATTTCTAAGTTGAACCGTTTTCGTGAAAAAAAAATAAAAACTATTTTTCTCGTCCATTTTGAGTGATTAAAGTGATGTTCACTACCACTAACATTCATTTGACTTTTAGTATTGTTCTAGTTTGATGTATTAAACAAACGTTTATTCACTTACAAATTCTGTCCACTACTTTCTCTATGTGATGCAAATAATTACAAATATATAGATACAATATATACAGATACTATAATGTTTTCTATATTTTGCTTTACTCCTTTACTTGAATTCGTCGAGTCCGTGTTTCTGTGTTTTTCCTACTATCTTATTAGAGCTGCCAAATCTTGACTATAATGTTATATTATCTGGTATTTTCTTTTGGAAAAGTATTTGGTTGATACTGGACTGATTTTCATTGATTATTTTATATTTTATATCTCCAATTATATTAATTTCTGTCAAATTGCAATGACATCTCAGCACCCCCTTTTTTTCTTTATAAAAAAAAAATAATTCCATCCCCATTGCCATACAAAACTTTTATATATGTATAGTGTCCCACTTTGATTTCTTCACATCTGATTAAATACCATGTCTTGATATTCACATATCTTAAAATTTTGTATCACTTTCCTGTATTCACACGCGTTTTACCTTATCTAAATTTTACATAATTTATAATTATACTTTACAATATTTCTATAACTAATAACAATATCTGTTTTACATTAATTTTCCAAATGTCAAATAAATAAATCTAATTATTTTAAATTTTATCTGAAATTCCTTATATATTTCAATATATTAATTTTAGTCCAGGTGGTATCTGTTTTAAAAAGGGTATACTTGGGTAAAACGCATATGATCGGAGATTTTTGCTTTAACGGCTACTAAATAACATCAGAAATGATAATTTTTCTATGCAAATAAAAAAAACGTAGGCTTAATTGTTATTGCAAAAAAGTAGAAAAAAAAAAAAAGAAAAAAAAAAATAATTTTTTTCTTGGATTCCTCGTCGACAACTTAGCAACTATTCATTTTAGACAAAAATGGAAGAGGAAAAAAAGTTTTGTAATTAAATTTTGATCAAAATAGAGTTAGTTGCAATTCAAAAAAATAATTATTGTTATTGCAAAAATCGGAAAAATCATTTAAAAAATTGCAAAAAATTCTAGTTTATTTGTCAATTTTTTTCAGACACTTGTATAATACCTAGGATCTTCATACTTTTCCCAATTAAACTTCTTAGTGCATAGAATCGTCACACCAAATTTCATCCAATTCGGTTCGATAGTTTTTACATAATAATTGTTTAAATTTTTTTTTAATCTTCAAAATCAAATTTCTAAAAATCTAAAGCCTTTGGATACTTGAAAATTTCACCACAAAAAGAAGAGCTCTCAAGCTTTAAAATGGGTTTTGAAAAATTCAAATCGGACGATTAGGAGAGCCGTGGTGATTGTTTAAACATTTTCGCAATTTTCACTCATAAACAATTACAATAATTTAATGTTTTTTTCAAATTTTCTTTTTATTTTAAAATATGGTTTGAAAGTACTCGGAAAGACGAGTATTTAAAAAAAAAACTGATGATCCGCCCATTATTTTCGGAGTTATAGCCCGTTAAAGTTAACCCTTATTTACAGCAAAACTATAAGAGTACCTATAAGGGCTGTTTTTTGAACTAATAGGTTTGCCATTCCGAGTACTTTCCAGATATAAATTTTCAAAATTCAAAATTTTTAGGTTAGAGATATTCAAACATACAAAAAAATTGTGCATCAGTAAAACGACTTGACATTACGTCTAGGTCAATACGGATTGGACGATGCTAGTCACGTGGCTACGACGATCCGAGATCGCACACGCATGTGGATCCAGGCTAATTCCTAACACGAAATCTAACAAAGTTTAGAGTGGTTTTAAAGCCAGAAAAACCTAAAATTATGTTGTGAAAAATATTTATCTATTTGCAAAACAAGCAAATTGATGAATTTCTCGAAAAAAGTGAGTGTTGATAGGGATAGAGAAAGAACCAGTATAGTGGACAGTAAGATTTGTTTCCATACGATATTGAATATACTGATATACTCATATGGGTAAAGTATTAAAATGTTGGTACCGATACTTAATTTACTTGGTATCGAAAAGAAACGGAAGTTTCGGAACATTCCGTACTACAACCACGGAATCAGGTTGTTACAAGAAGCCAAGAAGCTTATATGTTTTGTGGTTAAGTTAAAAGTGACAACTGTATTTTTGTGTCTACTTTATATTTTGTGTTTATATTTAAAAGAAAATTGTTGGAGAGCAATGACTGATGTTAAGGAAACTTTGTGTAGGCTTTGCTTTAAAAATATAACCGATAAAAGTTTTGAAGTGATAAACAACATTATCGGAGACATTCTAGATGTTCTTTTACTGAAATTGGTAAGTCAGTGAAAGATAATTAGATTCTATCTCGATTTACACTTCTTCATAGTCTCAAAACGACATTTAACACTTCATTGTTATTTTTCGTCGCAGTTATTTTCTTTCTGTTGAGTTAAAGTTGCATATATTTCAGAAATTCGATAACAAGAGCAATGAGGTTATATGTAACGCTTGCAAGAGAAGGTTAGATATGGCGTTAGAATTTAGGTCAATGTGTCTGAGTACCGATAACACAATTATGCCTTATGTGGATAGCGAAAAAATGTTACAACTAGACTTAAGAGAGGTGTACATGCGGGAAAATAGATGTGAATTAGTTTGCAGTCAGAAGATCTGTCGTCTGTGTATGCACCCAGTAGAAAGTGAGTTTAGGTGCATACGTAAAGAGGAACTCGAAGCTATTGAGAAATTAGCACCTGAAATGGTATTGATGATGTTAAATAATTGCATTTTTTAGAATTTAAAATACTATACATTGTAGATTATAAACATCATCAAAGATCCCATTCTATGTAAGCCGTGCTTTGATTCTCTGTGCACTCATAACAATTTCCTGAAAGATTGCTTAGAGATAGAAGAAGAAATTAAAGGTATTTTTGATAGCCGAGCTACAGAAAGTCAAATAGAAACTTTGCCATCCGATGTATTCGTTAAGACTGAAGACTTGGACAATGGATTTGATATTAATGAGATGGAAATGTCGATCAAAGCTGAATGTGTCGACATAAAAACGGAAGATGAGGAAACAAGGTAAGACAGGAATATTTGAATCCATTGCAAATTATCTTTTGTTATGATCCAAATGATTGAAATTGTCACTTTTGCTAAAAATAAATTCAAGGATAAATTTTAAATCTTTTATTAATATTTTTTTAATTGAGAATGTTTTTTTCAAAAATCCACATTTCTTTTTACAATATTCACAGTGCTAACGATCGTGAAAAAGATTACATTGTTTTTCTAAAGCTCCTGGAAACGATTTGTGAGCTAGAGAACTCTGTTAGTATTTGAGATTTGAGGAAGGAAATACTGATTAATTTTTAAATTGACGTTTGAATACAAGCTGTCAACTGTCAAAAAAAAGGACAACTTTATTTGACAGGTGTGTCATTGTGAATAATCTAAAAAAATATATTTTCAAATAGAACATTCTTTTTCCAACAGTTTTTTTTTCTTTTTTTCGATATTTGACATTTTTTTATTTTAAATATATAAATTTTTGTTAAAATAAACATTTTCAATTCAAAAAAATAGCAAAAGATGCTATGCTCCTTTGATTGATTTTTACCAAAAGTGACCATTTCAGCCATTCTTTGAGCTGTTGTGTTAGTGACATTTTTAAAAATAAATATCAGAAATTTTCATTAATAGAATTTTATGAGTCTTACACTGTCAGTTTCGGTCGCATATAAGAACCCACACAAAGCGTCAAAAATATGATGCCACAAACAAAGGTTTTGCCACTAAACTGCATCAAAGTTGACAAAAAACAAAGGTTTTACTCCATATAACTCCTAAAACAATGTGCCTGATTTAAATAGAATTGTATTTGAATTTTTTTCAGTGACATGCTTCTGCAGAGTTCCGATAATGAACCGTTCGAGAAAACTGACTGTAAAAATGCGGAAAAAGAAGGATATAAAGATGAGAATGGATCAAAAGTGAAAACCAAGCAGAAGCGCAAAGTATTGTACAAATGTGATAATTGTACTTACAAAACTGAAAGTGACAGTTGTTTTATGTCACACTGTGCGAGACACGAGAACGATTCGGCAGTGTATAAATGTGAATCGTGTGAGTATGAAACTGGAAGTAAGAAATTTCTTCAAAGGCACCATTTGAGACATAAGGATCCCTCGCATGCCAGAATGTACAAGTGTAACGACTGTGATTACAAAGCTAAATACAAATGTCTTATCAAACGACACCAACTGAGACATAAAAATCCTTCACAGGTTCAAATGTACAGGTGTAACGAATGCGATTTTGAAACAAAATACAGGACAGCTTTCAATCGGCACAAACTGAAACATAAAGATCCTTCTCAAGTTCAAATGTACAGGTGTAACGAGTGCGATTATGAAACTAAATACAAGAGTGGTATCAAACATCATCAAATGAAGCATAAAGACCCTTCGCAGGTTCAAATGTACGAGTGTAATGACTGTGATTTCAAAACTACATACGGGAGCCATATTACACGACACCAACTGAAACATAAAGATCCCTCGCAGATTCAAATGTACAGGTGCAACGACTGTGGTTACGAAACTAAATATAAGAGTTATATCAAACAGCACCAACTGAAGCATAAAGATCCTTCACTGGTTCAAATGTACAGGTGTAAACACTGTGATTATGAAACTAAATACAAGATGAATATCAAAAAGCACCAGGTACAACATAAAGAGGCATCGCAGGTTCAAATGTACAGATGTAACAAATGCACATACGAAACTAAATACAAATATGCTATCAAAAAGCACCAACTGAAACATAAGGATTCTTCTGAGGTTCAAATGTACAGGTGTAACGACTGGGATTTCGAAGCTAAATACAAGTACAATATCAAAACTGAAACATAATGACCCTTCACAGGTTCAAATACACAAGTGTAACCACTGCGATTACGAAACTAAATACAGGAGCAATATTAAATATCACGTGTTGGAGAATAGTTGTACTGCGTTACTGCCCATCGTGCAAAATATAGTCAAAAATGGACGCATATAAGAACTACAAATGTGAATATGACATCAATCACAGATATTGGTATATACAAGGTGTCCCGTTCTATTGTACCAGGCTGCATAATTTTTTTAATTCGACTTGTATAAAAAAATATTTCGAACAAATGTTATCAGGTTTCGAGGCGGTCAAATTATAGTGACCTTGAAGTCAATTATCAATTCAAGGTCAACCTTGAGTTTTTAAATGGACACTCATATTTTATTACAGGAAGTCTTTTCAAGAAAAATGTTTCACACAAAAATTAAGTATTTTTTCCCACAGAATATGAAACTGTACTAAAAATATGGGTTTCCATGTAAAAAATCTAGGTTGGCCTTGATAATAGACTTGAATTACTGTTTAATTTCAAATTCACGGTAATTTGATCCCTCCGAACCCTGACAACTTTTGTTGGAAATATTTTTCAGCACCCTGCTTATTTCTTGAGATATTAGCCGGAGATATAAAATGGAACAGTAATAGTATAGCACACTCTGGCGAGAGAACCAAGCATTTTCAAAAAATGTTTTATTCAAAAGTTACGTATTTCTTCGTGCAGAATACGAATCTGTAATAAAAAATATGGGTTTCCATTTAAAAAATCAAGGTTGACTTGAAACGACCTTGATAATTGACTTCAAGGTCACCATAATTTGACTCCCTCGAAACCTAATAACTTTTGTTCTAAATATTTTTTTATAAAAGTCGAATTAAAAAGATTATACACCTTTATACATTAAAATCCGACACCTTGTATATGGGTGGTTTTTAAGTATGTGGCGTAATTCTTTGAGTGGTTCTAAGACGAAAAGTTTATATAAACATATGTCCTGTAATGCTTCATTTTCAAGATACGGGTTGTCAAACTTTCTTCGGTTTCTTGTAAAAATCTTAGGCGTTTAGCCCTAACTAGATTAAAATTATTAAGTCCAGTGGCTTCCTGGGGGGCACCTTAACAAATATTTTTGACAAAAAAAAAGTTGCCACTGATTTTTTTAAGTTTTATAATTTTTTTCGTGTTAAGTAACTAAAAGTACAACTTTTTTGTCTTGAATTTTTTTCGTTTCTTGCTTCTTTTTTGGAGAAAAAAATATAAAAATTACTATATTGCATGCCCCTATACAGGGTGTTCCTAAATAAGTGTCGCAACGGAAAACTGTAAATCCCTCTTGAAAAAAGAAACATTTTTTTCCTCTTCCATTTTTCTTTTTGGGCTTTCGTTTTCGAGATACACGGTGTCAAAACTTTAGTTTTTCGCCAATATCTTAGGAATCGTTTGAACTACAGGACTGAGCGTTTGTACACACATTACCACTATTAATAGCTACTTTTTCGCACCCTTCTCGAATTCATTGGACGAGCTTTAGAAATTCTAAAGCGCCAATGAATTTTACACAATTAGAGTTCTATTGGTTCATTGCTCTAAAGTCAACCGTTTTCAAGAAAAATGACTTTTTAATAACAAAAGCAAACATTTTGCTAACGTTTCGAAAATCTTTAGTAATTCAAAAAATAGGTATAATAATTAACAATTATAACGAAATTTAACAACAGATAGGATTTTAACTTTTTTTATCAATTTGGCGAGTAAAATTTACAGAAACTGTTCAAAATTACGTCCGTTGGCTTGAATGCATGCATTACATCTTCTAATGTTTCTTTCTGCCGCTGCGGCTTCACTTCTATCGGTCAACTTTTCGATAGTATTGACATGGAACGTTAGCAAAAATGTTTGCTTTTGTTCATAAAAAGTCATTTTTCTTGAAAACGGTTGACTTTAGAGCAATGAACCAAGAGAACTCTTATTGTGTAAAATTCATTGGCGCTTTAGAATTTGCTGTCAAAAGTCAATTTTTCCAGTGGCGTAAAATTTAGGGGGAGAAAAACCCTTACGGTACCTTAAAATCTCCACCACTGGCACGTCCAATGAATTCGAGAAGGGTGCGAAAAAGTAGCTATTAATAGTGGTAATGTGTGTACAAAAGCTCAGTCCTGTAGTTCAAACGATTCCTAAGATATTGGCGAAAAACTAAAAAAAAATTAGAGTTTTGACACCGTGTATCTCGAAAACGAAAGCCCGGAGAGAAAAATGGAAGAGGAAAAAAATGTTTCTTTTTTCAAGAGGAATTTACAGTTTTCCGTTGCGACACTTATTTAGGAACACCCTGTATAATAAGAAATTAAAACTACCAAACTATCAAAAACTGGAGTATACCTGTAATTTCTTCCCATATCAATAGTCTATTCTAGTCTTAGAAATTGTTATAAAAATTAATGCTAGCTAAAAAAAATTTTTGTGCAACAGAGTGAATTTTATTTATGATTAAGCAATTAAAATTACACCAGTCATCTTTTGAATTTTTTCGCTTGCATTAACTGTTTCCACAGTCATGGCCACCCAGGTCACTGGATTTAAATCTGTTAGATTTCTTCCTTTGGGGGCATTTTAAGGCCCTAAAGAAACTATTTTAAAAAAAAATTTGACACACTGTATCTTTGGCGTAAAATTTGGCTACATACATTATTAACACCCTGTATATGTACATACGCAGTAATGCGAGTCAATATTCAGTGAATCAAATGTTTACATGTGTATTTTAAATAGCGATACAATTTACAATGTAACAGATTCTTACCTTCCAGCAGTTTTTAAAATACAAGTATATATCTAAATAGAATGATTTAAAATTCGTAATTCGTAATTATTTGTAATTTTCAAGAATTTTCACTGTGCTCATTATTTACGTTGCGAATTACTCCCGTGTGTGCGAAATATATGTGCACATTTAAGATTCACCCTACATCCCACATTTTTATAATTTTGATTTAATTGTTATTAATTTGTGGAGGGAACAGAGTTGCAACAACTGTGATAAAACAGTATTTTTGACAACTGTTCCCTTATCTAACACTGTTCTCTGTTATATTTTGTTGGTTATTTCAAGACCTAGGAATAATTTTTTTTGTATTGTAGGCTTAAATGAATTAAATAAAATTTATCTTAAACATGCTGACTATATCATTGGTTCCGGATACTCGTAGGGAGCCTCTTTAATTAAGTCCAATTTGTTACATACATTCCTTCCCATCTTGGTAAACTGAACAATTTGATCCACCCTGTACATACCAAAAAAAATGGGAATTAGAAGATAAAATACAAATAAAAATTCAATTCAATTATAATGTAACTTAATTTTTTATAATAATAATTTAAGAATGCGTTCATAGATGTTCATAGAAGCTATTGCGATTCTGTTTCTGGAATTTATTTTGTATAACTTGAATAAAAATGTGTTTTTATCACTTAATTATCGTTTGAAAAGCTGGCGCACGTTACAAATGTACCCGCCACCTGCACCGAATCAATTGCGCAAGTGCGTGTGCACTGTTCTTGATTTCGTTTCATGACGTCGGCGAATCACCTGTCTAAATGATAAAGAAAGATAGTACACTAACTATCTCTTTCTCTCTCTGTCACTCGTTTACTCTCGCTGTAAATGGCCTACCATCCATGTAGTAGATCCGTAATCTAGAACGGAAAATTGAGTAGGAACCGATTTACTCGGATCGAAATCAGTCATAAAACGCACCACAGAAATGAGACAAGACAAAAGACAACCCTCAAAGCCAAAGGTTGTGCGGAAGGGAGGCTACACCTGAAAAAACGCGGACAAACACCCATTATCCATCGACATTGCCAGTGGCGACACCAGGGATCGAAGCCGGACCAGAATAGGAAATCCGATCGAGAAATGCTCATGCTCTGTCATGTTTCGCCCATCTCTATTCCTAACCTAACCTAAATTAGGCAGTCACAAAAAGGTTAGTAGTGGCGGCTTTATATTTTTGAGTCTGTTTTCTGTTTATATTTAAATTAAAATAAGATTGCTGCGTAGCAATGAGTGATGTTAAGGAAACTCTGTGTAGGCTTTGCCTTACAAATATAACCGATAAAAGTTTTGAAGTGATAGACAACATTATCAGAGACATTCTGGATATGCTTTTGCTGAAATTGGTAATTCGGCGAAATAATTAGACTAGATCCTAAGAGTAAATGTAAAGCAACTTTTAGTATTCAATTGTTATTATCCTGCACAGTTATTTTCTTTTTGTTTAAAGTTGCATATTTTTCAGAAATTTAATGATGTAAACAAAGAAGTTATATGTAACGGTTGCAGAAGAAAGTTAAATAAGGCGTCAGAATTTAAGTCAGCTTGTCTAAGTACCGATAACACAATTATTTCTTACGTAAATAGTGAAAAAATGTTACAGCTCGACTTAAAAGAAGTGTTCCTGCAGGAAAAGAAAAGTGAATTATCTGATAATTCATGCAGTCAGAAAATATGTCGACTGTGTATGCACCCAGTAGAAAGTGAGTTTAGGTGCATACGTAAAGAGGAACTTGAAGCTATTGAGAAATTGACTCCTGAAATAGTATGAATGATATTAAATACTTGCATTTTTCAGATTTAAAAAACTATTTTGCAGATTATAAATATCATCAAAGATCCTATTGTATGTAAGCCGTGCTTTAATTCTCTGTGCACTCATAACGCTTTCCTAAAAGATTGCTTAGAGGTAGAAGAAAAAATTAAAGGTATTTTTGATAGCCAAACCACAGAAAGTCGAGTAGAAACGACGTCATCTGATGTATTCGTTAAGATTGAAGACTTGGACAATGAATTTGATATTAACGAGATGGAAATGTCAATCAAGGCTGAATGTGTCCACATAAAATCAGAAGATGAGGAAAGGAGGTAAGAGAAGACTATTTTAAGATTAATTTAAATAACGGCATCCTGTGAATCTGACAGTTTCTGATTTTTATGATTGAATATGTGCCATCTGGTGATGAACTAATCGTAACAAATTATGAGACTAAGTAACATTATTAAGGCTTAGGTTAACAAATTATTGGCAAAAAATGTAAGATCACTATAAAACGATCAGTACAGGTTTAAATCGGATATGGGTACAAATAATGCTATATTAGATTTCATTCATTCATTAAATTTTTTAACGGTAGAAATTTTTTATCGTTTTTTGACAATTTATTTTTTCGAAACAGAAGAAACATGGTTAAAGAAAAGGTAAAAATTTGCATATTTAAGGACTTTCTAAACTGGAGATAACTTGAGAATATTGTCGGTTGTTTTTTAACCTCAAAGTATCCCAAAGAAACCCTTATCAGTTGTCACTTTTGCTAAAAATTAATTCAAGCATAAATTTTGAAACTTTATTAATATTTTTTTAATTGAAAATGTTTTTTTGCAAAATCAAAATTTTTTTTACAATATTCACAATGCCACACGATCCTCAAAAAATATATATTTTTTTACAAAAAAATTTGGGTTTAAAAAAAACTTTTTTTTTGTTAAAGCTGCTGGAAACAATTTGTGAGCTAGAGAACTCTGTAAATATTTGAGAATTGAGGAAGGAAATACAGCGACATTGGGGGTTATACAACGCTTTGCAATTAATTTTTAATTTGACGTTTGAAAACAATAAAAAAAATATTTTCGAATAGAAATTTCTCTTCAAAATTTTTTTATTTTCTTGTTTTTTGATATTTGACATTTTCAATTTAAAAGAATTATTAAAAGACGGTATGTTTATACTTTAATTAGGGCTGCCAGATCTTCGGAGTCTTCGGGTTTTGATGGTACATCTCCGGGCTCCGAGTTAACATGCCATTTCTCCGGGTTTTCTTTGTTGTGGGAAAAATCATTTTCTGATTCCTGATCTCTGTCGCGAAGTAGATATCTCCTTATTGCGTCTCCGTTTTTTATTTTTAGACATCGAGTTCCTCGAAAACAACAATTTGTCTTCCTTTTTTTTTAGGCATCAATTATACAAACGAGCCATATCTCCAGGTCTGTCATGAAATAGATCTGGTAACCTAACTTTAATTGATTTTTACCAAAAGTGATCATTTGAGCTGTTGTGTTAGCGACATTTTTAAAGATAAATATCAGAAATTTTCATTGATAGAATTTTATGAGTCTTCCACTTACAGTTTCTGTGCCACGTTGCTTTTTTCCACTAAATGCCATCAAAGTTGGCAAAAAATATTAGTTTTACTCCATATAACTCTTAAATAGAATTGTCTTTGAATTTTTTTCAGCGACATGCTACTGCAGAGTTCCAATAATGAACTGTTCGAGAAGACTGACTGTGAACATGTGGAAAGGGAAGGATATAAAGATGAGAATGGATCAAAAATGAAAACCAAACAAAAGCACAAAGTATTGTACAAATGTGATAAATGTACTTACAAAACTGGAAGTGAGAGCCGTTTTATGTCACACTGTGCGAGACACGAGAACGATCCAGCACTGTATAAATGTGAATCATGTGAGTATGAAACTGGAAGTAAGAAATCTCTTCAAAGGCACCAATTGATTCACAAAGATTACTCACAGGCCAAAATGTACAAGTGTAACGACTGTGATTACAAAGCTAAATACAAGTGTCTTATCACGCGACACCAACTGAAACATAAAACTTCTACACAGGTTCAAATGTACAGGTGTAACAACTGCGATTACGAAACAAAATACAGGACAGCTATCAATCGGCACAAACTGAAGCATAAAGATCCGTCGCAGATTCAAATGTACAGATGTAACGACTGCGATTATGAAACTAAATACAAGAGCAGTATCATACATCATCAAAGGAAGCATAAAGATCCTACGCAGATTCAAATGTACAAGTGTAATGACTGCGATTTCAAAACTACGTACGGGAGTCATATTACACGACACCAACTGAAACATAAAGATCCCTCGCAGATTCAAATGTACAGGTGTAACGACTGCGATTTTAAAACTAAATATAAGGGTCATATCAAACATCATCAACTGAGGCATAAAGATCCTTCACAGATTCAAAAGTACAAATGTAACAACTGCGACTACGAAAGTATATACTCGAGTCATATCACACGACACCAACTGAAACATAAAGATCCTTCGCAGGTTCAAATGTACAAATGTAATGACTGCGATTTCAAAACTAAGCACTTGAGATATATCAAACATCACCAACTGAAACATAAGGATTCTTCACAGATTCAAATATACAGGTGTAAGGACTGCAGTTATGAAACAAAACACAAGACTGCTATCAAACATCACCAACTAAAGCATAAAGATCCTTCGCAGGTTCAGATGTACAGATGTAACGACTGCGATTTCGAAACTAAATACAAGTATAATATCAAAAAGCACCAACTCAAACATAAAGATCCTTCACAAGTTAAAATGCACAAGTGTAACCACTGTGATTATGAAACTAAATATAGTAGTAATATTAAATATCACATGTTGAAGAATAATTGTACCGGTGTGCTTTGCTAACAACCAATCATCGTGGAAAATATAGTCAAAACTAGACGCATATAAGAGCTACAAGTGTGAATATGACACTTCACAAATATTGGTATACGGGGTGTCCCTTTCATGTTTCAAAAAATTTGTGTACAAGTTCCTTGGGGGAAAATAATAGGGGTAGTTCATGTAAAGTTTTTTTCTTAGACGCTCTGTTTTCGAGATACAGTGTCTTGAAGTTGTTACTTTCCAAATGGTTGGTTTTCCTTAATTATCTTTAAATCGGCTAAAGATAAAATTGTCAAAATTTGTACACGAGTAAACATCAACTGTGCGTTAAGAATAATGAGCAAACGGTTTCTTTCTGAAAAGCAATGTCGCCGATATAGGTAACTGGAGGGGTACAATGGAAAAAAATATGTTAAAAGTCAAAATTATTACATTTCTAAACGGTTCTGAAAGCTCTAAAGCATATTACAAAAAAAGGTATACTTGTCAAAATTCGGGTAACATGTATCATTTTCCAGAAAAATGAAGTTGCATAGAAACAAATGGGGGACAATTTCAGCGTCTACTGTAGTATTTGGAGTTTTGCTCATTTATTTAATTGTGCAGCTGTTTTGTTCTGTATGTGTCCGAGTCTGTTTCCTAATATTTTCTGTTCTTATTACATTTTATAAGCATTCATGTCCATCAACAATTCAGTCCATTCAACAATTGTTTATTTTAGTAATGGTAGAGTAGTTTACAAAATCTAAAATTGGTTAATAATAGATAATTAATTACCATAATCTGTTTATTTTGACATACTTTTTTAGATGTTAGTTTACAAATGTCTTCAGCTCATTCAATGGTAAAGTCCTCTTTCAATTTAATATTTTGTTAATGTACTTGTGCCGCTTTATGCGAGCAAAAAAAATGCAACTTCATTTTCCTCGAAAATGGTACATGGTACCGAATTTCGACAAGTATACCTTTTTTTTTTGTAGTATGCTTTAGAGTTTACAGAACCGTTTAGAAATATAATAAATTTTGACTTTTAACATATTTTTTCGATTGTACCCCTTAAATTACCTGTATCGGCGACACTGCTTTTCAGAAAGAAACCGTTTGCACATTATTCTTAACGCACAGTTGATGTTTACTCGTGTACAAATTTTGACATTTTTATCTTTAGCCGATTTAAAGATAATTAAGGAAACCCATTTGGATAGTAACAACTTCAACACACTGTATCTCGAAAACAGGGTGTCTAAGAAAAAAAACGTTACATGAACTACTATTATTTTTCCATGAGGAACTTGCACACAAATTTTTTTGAATCATTAACAATGGGAAAATCTAGAGCAGAAGATACTACACGTGAAATGGTGGTCATTAGCGCAAACATGCCTTAACCGAAAATTGATAGTTTTGGAAATACAGGGTGTTGAAAGTTAAAATTTTAAATAGTTTTTTTGCGATTATTCTGAAAATATATAGGTTAGGAACTTGAAAATTTGTGAAACTATATTTTTTTATGCGACGAATAAGATGCTTGTTGCAATTTCAGCGTTGCTCATAGAGGGCGCCACTTACGACCAATTTTACCGAAAATTTAGTTAATAACATTTTAACCCTGCATGTCTAACATGAAACTTGAATCAAAACTTGAACGAACAATCATTTTTCCATTAATTAGGTACTCTTGTTTCACTTCGGTATCTCGATCCGTTTTCGAGAAAAATAGATTTAACGAACACTATGTATTGATAATATGAGAAATTAAAAGCGAAACAAACTAAGCGTTTCTTCGTGTTATTACAACAATTAAGGATAAAACAAATGAAATACGTAATAATGATTTAAAGTAATAATTGTTCGAAGAATCCACCGTTGACACTGATACACTTTACACAACGTTTTCTGAGAGATCTTCGAGCTTGAAACAACATATTCGGATTGCATCTGACTTCGTTGGCAGCGATTTGTATTCTTTGCCACAACTCTTCACGCGAACCAATAGATTCACTGCAAACAATATCTTTCATTCGAGACCAAATAGAAAAATGAAGAGGATGAAGTCTGAACTTCTGGGTGGCCAAGCAAAAATGCTTTGAAATACCCAGGGACGGATTTATTTATAAGCGTCGTTATACACATACAGAGGGAGCGCGTGCATCGACGCTGAAATTGATGTGTAACGGTTAGTATACCTTTGTCGCTCGATGTAAACACTTGTACTCAGTAGTCAAAACTTTACACGCAGTTTTCTCAAAATAGTTCTAGTTAAACTAAAAAAATTTGGAATTTTATATTGGAAAACATTAATTATTGCAAAAATTACCAAAGAATTTTGGAGAATGGTTAATTTTTTCGAAAAACTTCTGCCAAACAGCAAAATTTTTGTTTTTTTTTTTTAGTTTTTTTGGTTTAGCGTCTAATTGTTAATGTTTTTACATAATTTTTGTTTCTGGGCTTTTACAGGTCAAAATAACATCCTCCAAGATCACAACGGATTACATAATAACATATATCCGCCATTTCGATTAAAATAAAGAAAAAAGTTCCTTATATACTTCAATTCCTCTTAACAAGTCTACAAAATTTCATTACGATTGAATAACAACTCATAAAAAAAATCTTTCAGTGCTTTTTTTTCGAACCGTCTAATTGTATCCCCCCCTTTACAGTGTAGAAAATAGAGGGATTTTAAAAGATGAATATCCGTAATTATTTGTAATTTTTAAGAATAACTCGCTGGACTCAATTTACGTTCAGAATTCCACCCGCTTTTGAAATATACGTGTACATTTAAGATTCATCCTACTTACATTATTACATATTACATTTTTATAATTATGATTTAATTTTTATTAAGTTGTGGAGGGAATAGAGTTGCAACAAGTGTGAAAAAACAGTATTTTTAACACCTGTTCCCTTATCTAACCAAAACTGTTCTGTGTTGTATTTTGTTAGTTATATTAACACAAGAATAATATTTATTGTATTGTAGACTTAAATGATTTAAATAAAATTTAACTATACATGCTGACCATATCACCTGCTCCGATTGCTTATAGAGAGACGGCTTAATTGAGCCAAGTTTGTCATAATTAATCCTTCCCTTCTTATTACACTGCGACCCCTGTACCAGTCGAGTGAACGTACTGTGTAGCTCGCTTAATAATATTTATATATTTATGAAATAGATTGTTTAATAGAATACGTATTAGTTAGCTATTAAGACATTCCCGTATTTGGTACCAAACTCAAACCGTTGCAAATTCGTTCTTCGAACAAAGTTATTGATCATGTTTCTAGAATTTATTTCCTTATATTCATTTATTTAAATAAAAATTTGTTTTCACAACTTAATTATCATTTGCGAAGTTGGCGCATGATACAAATACACCCGCCACCTGCACTGTATGAATTGCATGTACGTGTACACTCGATTTCGTTTCATGAGATCGGCTAATGATGGAGAAAAATAGTACTCAAACTACTCTCTGTCTGTCAGTCGTTAAGCTGTCGCTGTAAATGTGATTCCTCCATGTAGTAGATCTGTGATCTGGGGCGGAACTTTAAGAAGGAACCGGATCAGTTATATTTCGCCCACCTCTATTCTTAACCTAACCTAAATTACGCTGTCGCAAGAAGGCTAGAAGTGGCAGCTTTATATTTTTGTCTGTTTTCTGTATATTTAAAATTAAAAGTCATTTGTGATTTAAAAGAAGATTGCTGCGTAGCAATGAGCGATGTTAAAGAAACTCCGTGTAGGCTTTGCCTTAAAAATATATCCGATAAAAGTTTTGAAGTGATAGACAGCATTATCAGAAATATTCTAGATGTTCTTTTGCTTAAATTGGTAAGTCAGTGAAATATAATTACATTAGATCCTAAGAATCTCAAACGTAAAGCAATTTTTAGTATTTAATTGTTATTTTCCTGCACAGTTATTTTCCTTCTGTTGTTTTTCAGAAATTTGAAGTTGAGAGCAAAGAGGTTATATGCGACGCTTGCAGGACAAAGTTAAATGCGGCGTCAGAATTTAAGTCCGCTTGTCTAAGTACCAATAACACAATTATTCCTTATGTGGATAACGAAAAAATGTTACAGCTCGACTTAAGAGAAGTGTACATGCAGGAAAAGAGAAGTGAGTTAGTTGATATTTCGTGCAGTCAGAAATTATGTCGATTGTGTATGCGTCCAGTAGAAAATGAGTTTAGGTGCATAAGTGAAGAGGAACTTGAAGCTATTGAGAAATTGGCTCCTGAAATAGTATGAATGATATTAAATAATTATTTCAGAACTTAAAAAACTGTATTTTGCAGATTATAAACATCGTTAAAGATCCCATTGTATGTAATCCGTGCTTTGATTCTCTGTGCACTCATAACAGTTTCCTAGAAGATTGCTTAGAGGTAGAAGAAAAAATTAAAGGCAGCCAAGCTACAGAAAGTCAAACAGAAGCGTTGCCATCCTATGTATTCGTTAAGACTGAAAACTTGGACAATGGATTCGATATTAACGAGATGGAAATGTCGATCAAAGCTGAATGTGTCGACATAAAATCGGAAGATGAGGAAAGGAGGTAAGAGAAGACTATTTTAACGTTAATTTAAAAAATGATATCCTGTGAACCTGACACTTTGTGATTAAATATGTGATGAACTAATCGTAACAAATTATGAGATTAGGTCGGTCATATACAATTATTGTGTAAATTTTTCAACAATCATTAAGACTTGGGTTAACAAATTATTAACAAAAAATGTAAGATCATTATAAAACAATCAGTAATGGGTCCTTTGTCCTTGTTGAGGAATGATTACACCAAATTCCTATGCGGATTGCACTCTCTCTCGCTCGATCTGTGAAAAAGCTCCCAAGTAGTTTTTTCTGCTAATCCCGTTTGTGGATCAGAGTGGTTTTTGTTTGATGATTAGATAGATAGATTAGTTGTTGTCAAAAATTATTATTAATATTTCGTTCAGCAAAAATATTCTTTAATTTTGTTGTTCTTCACATCACATTGTAATTGTGCATATGCGGTAGAACAAAGTTATAATTCAATGGTTTACGTCTGCATTTTATTGAAGTAAATTCAAGATTGTCTACCATGCAAAAAAAGTTACAGTCCACAGCTACCGAAGAATATAATGAAAGGAACAGACCGTAGGGACACAGTGGTTTCCCAAATAGTCCATTCATCACTTTTGACAGAAATGAACCAGTTCATACAAAGAGATCATTTTATTTCCACATTTTACTTCATTTGATTAGTTTTCTTAGAAAAAATTTTTGGAGGGATTGTATTCTTTGGTGTCTCAGCGGATACAGAAAATCCATACACAGGGTGTTTCAGAAAGACCTCCCATAAATACATAGGGTGATAGTACGACAAAAAATAAGAATTTTTTGTTGTCTTATGAAAATTTCCAAACGGTGCGAAATATTTTTATGAAATTTGGTATTCCGGGGTTTTTAAGGATGCCAAATACACTGGTCTAATTATTTTTAGTATATTTTGCAGAGGGCGCTAGTTAGGCTACATTCCTATTACATTTTAAGTTAAAATTTTTTTAAGGATAGGTTTTTTACCATTCGAGCTCCAATTTCTAATGTACAATTTTATTTTCTAAAAATAATGTACCCTTATTAAAACTTCCTAATGTGGACGGTTTTCAAGAAAAAAGGCTTTTAATTGAACTCTTACAATATTATGGTGTATACAAAAATAAGTGACTTTTCTCAAAGTAGGCTTATGTCAAAACCTATTATATCAAAATTTTAATGACTGTAATTAGTCATTACTATGTAGTCACTAACAATTATTAATTAACTATTAATAAGTTTTGACATAAGCCTACTTTGAGAATTCACTTATGTTATACACCGTAATATTGTAAGAGTTTAATTCAAAGCCTTTTTTCTCGAAAACCGTCCACATTAGGAAGTTCTAACAAGAGTTTTAGAAAATAAAATTGTACATTAGAAATTGTAGCCCGAACAAGGTGGAAACAGAGGTAAAAAAAGGGTAATTTTATATGACACTGGTGAATATTATAAAAAAAAATTCATTTTCGAAGAGACATTTTTCTTACCTTATCCTTTAATTGATTTTTTGCAAAAGTGACAAATTTAATAATTTGCATCGCAATGAAAGAAAAATCGCAGCAGTTTGAACTCTAGAGGGTTTTTTTGGAATACCTTGAAGTTAGAAAGGATCCGAGTATATCGGGGTTTTTTATAGTTTAAAGTACGAAAGATTTTTTGTTCGCTATGCGGTGGCAAATGTACCTGGTTGCTGACAGTAAAGACTTACATTGTGCTTCCTTAGCCTTAGCTAGGAATCTTTGACCTGCCCTTGTTTTTCTCGGGCTGGATTCTGTGGGGGCCGAGAACAACAAGGGCAGGTCAAAGACGACTTGCTAAGAATTCGGAAATGCAGTGTAAACCTGTATGGTGGTGACCAGGTATATAGATCATGAAAAACCATCGTAATAATTAAAACTACTATTTTCATGTCAAAATGTCACTTCTGGATCTGAATTTCTTAATAAAATTTATACATTCTTATTACACTATTTGAAGGGCACAAAAATTATTTCACTATAATAAAAATGAAATAATGTGTGGATTTCAGAAACTTAAAATTGAATGTTTGTTCGTGAAAATGATTAGAACGTACTATCCATTTTAATAACACAATACGATCAAGTCTAAGAGTGATCAAGTTAGAAATGACAGTAAGCACTGAGTGGAGCAAATGTATAATTAATAATTACAGAGGTGTCGTACGCCTCATTAACTTCATATATAAATACTCGTATGTCTGTTCTTATAAAGCTTTTTATTAGAGTGATTTTTTGTGAAACACAATATTTTGGCATGTGTCACCAATAACCCCTTAAAAATATAAACTGATTATCAAAAATACCCTTTATATGCAATTTTTTCAGCTACACGCCACTGCTGAGCTACAGTAAAAGTGAAGAAGAGGATGAATGTAAACAGGAGAACGGATCAGCAAACGAATGTAATGCGAAAGCCAAACATCAGGTGAAATACGAACAACTGTACAAATACAACTTTTGTGATTTCAAAACAAAGCAGGTGACCAGCTTTAATAGTCTTTATATGAAACGCAAAGACTCCAACAAATGTGATGAGCGTGATAAAACCATATACAACTCACTGACACATAAAGATGCTTCGCAACTGCCAATTTATAAATGCAAAGTTTGCAACTATAAATCAAAGAAAAAGATACTTCTTATGAATCATCAGTTGGTACATAAGGATCCTTCACAGGTCAAAATGTACAGGTGTAATGAGTGCGATTACGAAACTAAATACAAATATGTTATCGCAAAGCACCAATTGAAACATAAAGATCCTTCTCAAGTTCAAATGTACAAGTGTAACGACTGTGATTTTGAAACTAAATACAAGAATATTATAAAAAATCACCAACTGAAGCATAAGGATGCTTCTCAGGTTCAAAGGTATAGGTGTAACGACTGCAATTACGAAAGTAAATACAGGAGTAATATCAAACAGCACCAACTGAAACATAAAGATCGTTCGCAGGTTCAATTGTACAGGTGTAAGGACTGTGATTTCGAAACTAAATACAAGAATACTATAAAAAATCACCAACTGAAGCATAAAGATGCTTCTCATGTTCAAACTTATAGATGTAATGACTGTGATTATGAAACTATATACACGGGTTATATCAAAAATCATCAACTGAAGCATAAAGATCCTTCTCAGGTTCAAACATACAGGTGTAACCACTGCGATTACGAAAGTATATACAGGAGTTATATCAAAAAGCATCAACTGAAACATAAAGATCCATCTCAGGTTCAAATGTACAGATGTAACGACTGCGATTATGTAACTAAATACAAGAATACTATCAAAAATCACCAACTGAAGCATAAGGATACCTCTCAGGTTCAAATGTACAGATGTAACGACTGCGATTACGTAACTAAATACAGCCGCCATATGAAACAACACCAATTGAAGCATAAAGATCCTTCTCAGATTCAAATGTACAGGTGTAACCACTGCGATTATGAAAGTATATACAGTAGTTATTTCAAAAAGCATCAATTGAAGCACAGAGATCCATCTCAGGTTCAAACGTACAAGTGTAACCACTGCGATTACGAAACTATATACAAGAGTTATATCAAAAAGCACCAATTGAAACATAAAGATCCCTCTCAGGTCGAAATGTACGGATGTAACGACTGCAATTACGAAACTAAATACAAAAATACTCTCAAAAAGCATCAATTGAAACATAAAGATCCCTCTCAGGTCGAAATGTACAGGTGTAACGACTGCGATTACAAAACCAAACATAGGGAGAATATGAAACTACACGAACTGAAACATAAAGATCCTTCACAAATTAAAATGTACAAGTGTAACGAATGCGATTTTGAAACTAAATACAAGAATTATGTCAAACGGCATGAACTGAAACATAAAGTTCGTTCATAAGTTAAAATGTACAGGAAAAATGATTGCAGCTACGGGAAATACAAGAGCAATATTAAACATCGTGTGTTGAAGCATAGAAATCCTACACAAACGCAAATGTTCTGGTGTGTGTATATGAGTATGCAATGTCTGTGAATATCGGTGTATTAGAAACATTTCATCCTTCATCTGTTGACGCAAAGATGCTTGACAGGTTCAAATGCATCGATGGGATTTTGAAACCAGACATATGAAGTCTGAGGAAACGTTAACTGATGTACAAAAAATGTTTACGGGTGTGAAATACATTTGTTTTTCTTTGCAAAAAAATTTCTAATAAAAGAACTAATGCAAAACAGATGATTACTTTTTTTAAGGGAAACCTGAAACTCCTGTTGTGGTTTTTACACGGTGATAGATCAACTTATACCTTGCTTTCATTGTACAACGCTACATAGGGAATTAGGTTCGTTCGAGTTCGTAAATTCGGAAGGGTGGGGAGCGCTGGGTGCTGCAACCTGACTGATGTGAGATGTGACCACGTACGCCACACCGCCGCATGCAGAGATCGACATCCCCACCGCTGAAGCCACATGAATTTGACCAACGCACCTCCAATGTAGTGTTTTCCCGTGAAAGCACGGTATAGACTTTGCAACCTACCCTAGAGTCAAACTCTAAGTTTTTAGAACAATTGGCAATTCAATGTGGAAGGCAAATTAGCTCCAACTAACTCCGGGGTCAAGGGTGGAGATTTTTTCAGTAAGAATAAACTTTAATTTTTTCTCTGTCTCTGGTTAGGCGCTAAGTGATTTAATATAGATGAGATAAATAGTCTTCAAGATAGATTTGGAACATGTAGAGGTTCAGATGTTGGAATAATCGTTACAATTTGTGCAATTTTGCATAACATTTCAGTTGCTGGTGGACAACGATGGGATAAAAACTTGATTATTGAGGAGCCTGACGGAGAAACTGTTTGGGTTGCAGAGCTAATAGATGTATTAAAAGATGGTCGTGCTATTAAAAAAAGGGTTATCGATAGCATTCTCGATAATTTTGATTACAGCATACCTACGTAGTATTAACAATGTTATTTAATTATATCAGATTTATTCATTTAATAATAATCAGTGTAAATTTATTTCTTAAATAATATTAACACTATTTTGTTACTTCCAATAAATTTATTTTATTAAAATATATACAGTAATATAATATACAAAGAGCAGAATGATAAACGACTATCTTAAATGGTAAAAAGTTCTTCGTTACTCACAGACACACATACATCTAAAAGGTGAGTCTAGAGGCATATCTGGAACATTATTTGATTTTTATTATCAACAAAACTAAGTAATTAAATTAATAGTGGGTATGCAATACTTTTGTTACTGTTTTATTAATTTAAGATGAAGTAGTTAGAAAACAAGCAGGAATAGCACTATTTTAATAAATAATGAATTACAATAAAAATTAGTGCTGGCAAAAACCGGAAAAAAGTGACACCGGTTAACCGGGTTCCGTAAAAACCGATTTCAGATAAAACTGGTTAGTCGAATAGTTGCTAAAACCGGTTATTTGAATAACCCGTTACTTGAATCGCCAAAATCGGATATCTGAAAATCGGTGCTTTACAAAGACAAAAAAAAGGTCTGTACAAAAATCTTGAAGTCAAATTTGTTTACGAAGAAATCGATCTCCAAAAAAAAAAAGGAAGTAGATCATCGAATAATCGGTTATTTGAATAATCGAATATGAAGATTCGAATAACCGGTTTTCGGATATTTGAAGAATCGAATAACCGAATACCCGGTTTTCGGATTTCATAAAAATCCGAATTATCCGAAACCGGTTAACCGACTATCCAAAAAACCGATTTCAGTTGCCAGCACTAATAAAAATATGTAGATAAGCGTATTCGCTCAAATTTCGCACGGCCCGTGCCATGACACGTGTCGTTTGGGATGACTCATTGGTACCTTAGGCAAGCCGTTGACTACGTACCCGACGTGACCGACAAACACAAAAGACCTAGACACCAACTTTTTGACCCTGAGTGACCACCCCAACGACATCCCCCCCCCCTGCCCGCTAACCTTTTCTGTTTCAGAGACAGCCAGGATCAAGAAACGAAGACAACGACACACACACATACACACTCCCCATACCCTCCTTACCCCTCCCCTACCGTGCTAGCCTAAGGGCCACCTTAGCAAAGCGCTTCCCAGGCTGCATAGCCGCACTGCCCTACCCAACCATACCACACATAAACATGACACCACCCCCGGGGTTTACACAGACGAGCCGGCGAAGCAAGAAGAGCGCCAGAAGAAAGGGCCCTAGCCGGCGGGGCCTAGCCAGGACAAAAGGAGGTCCCACAAAGCGCCTACACCGGCCGCATTTGCGGTCGGGGTAGACGACGGATGGGGCCCACCTACGAAGGCTGTCCAGGCCTACACGAGATGAGGCAGGATAAAGAGGGATAATCCCCCTCGATCCCAAATCATGGAGGCCAATTTCTAGCCATGGAATAATGGCGTGGTACCTGTGCCTACCCTGTTCCGAGGAAGGACCTGTTACAAAAAGAACAGGTACTGCTCCGAAGTGCATCTCTCCTGTTCGTTTCTTCTTTTGTTTTGTGACAAATTAAGGTTATGAGCAATATATCTAATTTATTTATTTTTGAAAATTGTTGATTTAATGGATTTAATATAATGAATCCTGCCGTACACAAGACTTGTGTTGATGTAGACGAACAAATTAAAAGTTTCCATACCAAACAGGATATAGGGATTGAGTCTGATGCTTCACTTTATTTACCAATTAAAATTGAAAGTGATGATTTTGAGGACACATGGGTTAAACCTGAATATGTTATGATAAAAACTGAAATAAATTACCAGGAAAGGTAAGGGAAGACTATGGAATAGGGATCTATTTAAACAATTTTTTTTTCTCCATCAATGAAATCAGAATTAAAAACTATCCATTCATTTGCACCCTTCTCATCTACTCGGCCATATATTTCTGTGAATTCTAAAAAGTCTGGAAGGTAGACTTGTATTTGAATTATATAGAGAGCGGCTAAAAGATTTATGACGACAAAATAATGAAAAAGTACATGTCTGACCATGTTTAATTTTCAAGGTACTAAGTATTAAACAAATTCATGTCTTTCATTAAATTATAGAATATCACAGTGATTTAATTCAAATTCAGTCAGGAGTGCCTGAAATAGGGTCCATATTTGAAAAAATATGAGCAAACAACTAGGAATTGAACTCAGGTTGTCAAATAAATTTTGAGGTTTGTGGCCCATGGTATTGCAGCCAAATTATCATTTTCGAAATTATGCCCGTATATCTGATAAATTACGAAATTAGATATATTACTTTTATTACTCTGTTGTAATAGTTTAAGAAACAAATAGGTTTTTTGTGGCATACTTTAAATCTGTTGCTTTGTTTTTTATTTGTGACTGAAAATCTAACAATATTGGGTCTACGGTTTTAGTTACCCCCTGTATATTTTTAGTTCAGTTGCGGAAGAAGTGAAGGCGAGCTACACTAATGAATATAATACCGAGCTGGACGAGTTAGAACTTCAAAATGACCCAACGGAACCCAAAATATACACATTACTTCAAAGCGACCCAACCTCACCCTTGCGAATGCAAGACGGACCAGAAACCAAGGACCCCTTGAAGGTGGTCAATTACAAATGTATGACATGCCCCTACGAGACCAACTGGAAATGCAACCTGGTACGACACAGTCGCAGACATACAGACGCATCACTTTTGAAGTTATTCCCTTGCGACAAATGCGACTTCAAATCTAAATATCAAGAGTCCGTCGCCTCTCACAAGGTGGTGCACAAAAGCCTGGTAGAAGTTCGAATGTATCGATGCGATTTGTGCGATTTCGAAACACGACATCGGGGTAACCTCCCGAAGCACCAGCTCCTGCACAAGGACCTGTCGGAGGTGAAGACTTACAAGTGCGGGAAGTGCGAGTATGTAACGGTGTACAAGGCAAAGTTGGCGCGCCACCAAGTACGTCATAGGAATAAGCCCAAAGTACAAAGGTTTTCGTGTGATAAGTGCGATTTCGAGTCGAAAAGGGAGAAGACCCTCATCGTTCACCTGATAAAGCACAGAAGTGCTGGTGATGTGCAAACGTGATCTGTAGAAACGTCGGTTGCAACCAAATGAGGAGTGACAGACGTGAAAATAGAAATCTAGCGTACGGGATAAAGTGTGTAGAATTTACAGTCAATTAAGACTTAGAAATACTGGAAATGTAAATAAGGAAGTGTTGTAATTGTACTTTTAAGACCATTGTGTCTTCTATTCCAGATTAGCATCCATTATAACTGGTTTACATAAAATACTTTGGGTCGTTTTCTTTTTAAATATATTCTTAATGGTTTCTTACGGCAATTGCACAGACGTGTGCGAAAGAGATAGAGCTAGTGCAGGCTTATCCTTCGTTCACAGAACTTCGACTACTGTGGCGCACTACATTTAATTCAACCAATCAGCTAGCTATACTCGATTCCTTACCCCTTTTTTCTGTTGGGCCATACTCCCATTTGAAGTTAGATTGAAAGTATGATTAAGTTAAAAATTTTGAAAAATTATTGATTAGGTTTTTGATTATATTCAGATGAATGACAGAAGGTACAGCTGACTAATTCCTGATCTACAAAGACTTTATAAAAATAATATAGAGACTAGCAGAAGACAAAAAAATCCATTAGAAATGTGTAGATATATTAATTCCATGAGTAAAACTACACTTATGGTATTAAGAATTCTTTATCTTAGCTCGAACTGAATTGAATTTGATTTCTCTTCTCTTAACAATACATATTTGTACCAGTAATTTTAATTATTATTAATGAATAAGAGCATAAGTACTGTTTGTTTATAAGGAACTTTTGTACAAATCTGAAGTATTAACGGGGGATTATAATAATTAGAAATTTAAAGTTTTACACTAAAGTTTGTTTAAGGTATTTTGTACCAGTATACCCGTGTACCATTATTTGTTTTACCCATATTTGCCTACACTAGCTTTATCTGCCTTGCACACATTAGTGCGATTGACCACTCTTTCTAGGGCCAGTCCATAATTTTCTAAGTCTATGATGTGGAGCGAAACCACCATGGAGTAGAATCAATTTCGTATGACTAATTGAAGACTATGGTCAGTGACGTCAATTTTATGTATTCGTGGTTACGCTTATGTTCGTGAAAATGGGTTTCAGTTCAAGTTGGTAAAGCAGATATCTGTAAATATACTCCAGATTAGTGATGGGCATAATCGACCAATTTTGATAATCGAGTTATCGGTAATCGAGTACTTCTAATAATCGAGTGATCACTCGAGATACGAGATATTGGTCGTTTTCATCCCAGCGNGATAAAAGAAATATTCTCTAAGTTTGTAGTCTTAGAGCAGAGAATAGGGGCGCGAGTTTGTGGTATCTACTCTCTATGGCATGGTTTTGTCACAGCATAGATGAATATTTATTTTGCTGTGGTTTTGTGTATTTTGACTTGACGTGTTTTGTTCTGTGACTTTGTTTTGTGTTGAACAGTTCATTTGCGGTTTTCTGCTTATCCATCATAGAGAAATAAACAATTTGTATTCTATCTGCGTTATGCTGTTAAATAATCATTTTATTCGTTTTTATAAAATCATACTGATCAAATATTAAAACGTGTGCTACTATTTTAATAATTCAAAGTAAGATAGAAGAAAATAACAGAGGTGCTGCGGACTGGGAGTGGGAGCCTCCGCAAGTTATATACAAATATCAAAATGCTTCAGTATGAGCTACAACTATTGATTAATAAAATGTACGTTTATTATAAATAAAATTATATCGTTATAAGTGGCTTAATTTTATGAAATGTCTGAAACATGAGAATTTTCTTTATATTTAAAGTATGCGTACAGTGGTTTTAAGAAGTTTCACATTTAAGAAACTCATGTAGCTTATTTTTACAAATTTTAATATTTACGATGCTGATTGTATCACATTTTGTCAGATCTCCTCTGTGGTGAGTCTCTGAAGACAGAAGTGTTATGCACAGAGCGGTTATGGCTATGTATCGCGATTTCTTTAAATAGGAATCAGATTTGACGTTTTACTATCATTTTACGTGTTAAGTTTTTAAAAATTTAAATTTCCCGCGTCAGTACAATTTAGTTTCAAATCAGTACATTGGCATCACTGATTTCAGTACAAAAATATATATTCTAGGAACAACACTGGTAAATATACTCCACATCCAGAATGTCTAACCTATACTTCTCTAATCTAGGGTCTAACCCCGATTTTTTGTTTTTATTTTTATGTATTATAGCAACAGATGAATTAAATGGCATGGTTATTTGTTTATATTTTAATTAATACTGTTGGTAATTCTAAATTGTGAGATTGATTTCTTATAATTTGATAATCTCTACGTTCAATAAAAAAAGTACAAGCATAACATCGAATTTTGAAATGAGAGAAAGATTGTGGGTACTGATGTAAATCAAAGTGTCACTCAGCTTCGGTAAGTTACTTCGTTTTTAAATTAACTGCAGTGAGTATTTAATGTAAAGCATAAACAATTGCTGCCTGATTTTCTCTTATTTTTGACCGACATAACTTTAAGTGGGGTCAGTTTTTAAGAGTAATAGGACTTGTTATACTAATCTGAATTTTTTTTAAATGAAAGAATTCTCTTGAAAAGCAAAAGATCAGAAACATATTAATTAATATATATTTTACCCTGAAGATTATTCTTCATTTGGTATACAAAACTATTTTGTATAAAAAAGAAATTAAAAACAAAACTTCGAAAACCATTTATAAATATTTTATCTGCACGTCATTTGAATTTGACCGACTATACTTACCTCTCAATCAAACGGTACAAAAAAAGAAAAGAATTTAATATAGAATTTATAATTATTATTCCCATTTCAAGCCCTCTTCGAACCACTGCATTCTGCATACTCATAATGCATTCTGTCTTGCCTGACCATAAATTAAAGCGGTATCCATTAATTCCGCATAGCTACACACAATAGGCCATTTTGAGCACTTGTAAGACATGTAAACCATAAACCACGGTGATAAGACCACTACAAAAACCACAGTAATGCTGAGTACAACCTGGAGCAGCACACCGAAAACTTAGGATACATTTTATTAAGCACACTATAGGCTGTCGTCCGGCTATGTAGAGCTTTTAATTTTATTTTTTTCTCGAAATCCGTAAATATTTCCTTGTAACTTTTTTTTGTGATATTATTTTATCAGGGCAGGAATAAAAGGCAGATCTGTTGTATAAAACAATATATTTTGAAATTGAAATAGCACGATTACAAAAATAATAATAACTTAAAAACAACATTAGAGCAGTTAAATGCGTTTGATTAAAATTACGAATTTCACCAAGTTTTGAATTAGCGCTCGTGATTACATTAAAATTTTCAGCAACGAGTCCACGACGAAAGCTTTGCGGCCGGCTATATTCAATTCCTCGTCCAAACGGAACGTTTAGCAGCGGAGCGGCGGTTAAAACGTCGCCCCGTCTCATTTGTATAAATATTGTATAAGAGTTGTATTCTGTACAGTCTTACGATTGTTGTTTTTTTTTTTATATACAAATGATACTTAAACCTATCATTTATAATAAAAATAATGGTAACTGAGCGGCAACCAAGACTAAGTGGTTAAATACGTTTAAAAACTGTCGGCCGCGCCAACCTGCAAGAAAAATCGATTAAATCCTATTGGAACTCGTCTAAATTTAATTTTATGTAATGTTCGTGTACTTAGCAGCACAATTTTAGGAGGACGCTAAGCAAATCGGAATAAGATGAAAATTAAATCTTTTTTTCTTCCACAAACGATTCTGCTCCCCAGAAAGGGGTGTTAAAACATCACTTACCAAATTAGTCGCCTATCAGGACATATTTTTCTTTTTAAAATCAGCCAACCAAGTCTACCGTAGTACAAGTTGTAATAAAACCGATTCGGTAAGTACCAATTTAACGACCCACATCACCGAAAAGGAAAAAAAACATATATTGATCTTCGATCGACATGTTCCTAAAATCGCGCCACCAAGTTCAGACACGCCTCGCATCTACTCACCTGCGGGGCCGAACGCCTCCCTTAAAACTAGCACCGTGCCAGGGTACCCATCGGGTCCCAGGCGGGCAAGACTATGGGCTCCTGCTGGAACACGTCGAGCACCTCCTGCGGCACGAACTTCTTGTCGACCACCACCTCGAACGTGAACTCTCTGAACCAGTCGGTGGTCATCACAAGGTAGCCTTTCTCGCCGCGGTCCTCGCCCCAGGAGTTCTCTACGCGCAGCTTCGTTACTTGGTCCTCATCCTGCGGGCATTCGCTCGTTTACAACCGTAAAAGGTTCATTTATTTTGTTCTGCGAACGGTTTTGAAATTGGAAACGGAAGACGGTGGAACGGTTTTACCGAGAATAAAACTGGACGTTTTGGTTCTTGGAAGTTTCTGTTTATTCTGTTCTTGGATTTGTTCCTTTCAATCTGGTACGTTCTTACTTTTGTTCCGGGAACATTGTTTTCAGAGTTTCTATGATTTATAGAAGTTCTGTTCTTACTTTTCGTTTGCACGAAAAACGATGGAACATTGCAGTAAAAAACAAACTAACAAATAACGAGGAACGGTCCCAATGTGACAATGAACAAAATCAGACAGTTCACCTGTTTTATCGTCTTAATTGAAGATTAAAAATGGTTAAACATCCTTTAAAGAACGAACTGAGAAGAAAGGAAAGAGGAACAGTCTTACCAAAAGAACAAAATCAAAGAAATGAAAGAAAGTAGAATCTTTAAACAACAAAATTAGAACAAAATTGTGAATTAAAAATGGTTAAAAGAAAATAAAGAGGAACAGTCTTACCAAAAGAACAAAATCAAAGAAATTAAAGAAAGTAGAATCTTAAAACAACAAAATGAGAACAAAATTGTGAATTGAAAATGGTTAAACATCTTTTAAAGAACAAACTGAGAAGAAAATAAAGAGGAACAGTGTTACCAAAAGAACAAAATTAAAGAAACTAAAGAAAGTATAATCTTTAAACAAAATGAGAACAAAATTGTGAATTAAAAACGGTTAAACATCCTTTAAAGAACAAAGTGAGGCGAAAATAAGAAGGTGGAACGATCTTGCAAGGAACAAAACTGGGAACGAAATAAAAAGGAATTGCCCAAGTTAAAACTTGGCACTTTGTTCCCCATTTTGGTGACTTACTGAGTTTGTTCTGTATAAAATCAAGTTTCACTTTTTACAAAAACGTTCCCAGTACGTTCTCGGTTTGTTCGTGAACGTTTTCAATCCCTCATTTTCCATTACAACGTTCTAAAGAACGAAACTAAAAGAACGACATTTAAAAAATGTAGCTTACGTTTGTGTTTATCGCCGTGAACACCATGGCGTGCGACATTGCACTTTCCCCGTAAAGAAGTCTATCGGCTTTGGATAGGGTCGTCTGGATGTCCACGCCGAAAAGCAGTTGGAAATCGTGACTGGAAACAAAAGAATCAGTTTTATTTTTAAGCGCATACGAATAGCTTCTCGACGCTTACATTTTCAAGTCCTGAATACCCTGTTTTCCGGCGAAGCGCTTCATGACCTCGCAGCCGAACCACACCGCCTCGCCCTCCTTGACGCTCTTGGCGGTAAGCTCGAGAAGCAGCTCCACGGGCTGGTTGTTGTAGATGCACTTCCTGCCGCCCACGATGTTGCCCAGGCAGTCCACCGTGTACACCTTGCCGTACTCGTTGGTGGGCCTCGGGTCCGTCACCAGACACACCTTAAGCGAAACAGCGACATTAAATTTCCGCTCACAGTCTGCGGACGATGTGATTACCGTACCTTATCGTCGACGTTGAAGTACGGCTTGACGTGCTTCTCGTAGAATTCCTTGGGGGTGATGGGGCCGACGCTTTGGAACGCCTTGCTCTTGTCGTAGTAACTCCAGGTGAAGGTGTCGTTGGGTACGCCCAGGCATATACTGACTATCTGGTAGATGCTGGACATCTGTTCCTGGATCAGACTACGGATGTCGGCGTCGCTGCCCCCCTTGACCACCAGCTCGCGGATGGCCTTGGCGTACTCCCGCAACTGCGGAAGATTATTACCATTCAACTCATCATCTACCATCTACCGCCGAATATAAATTGTCTCGATGGTTTATCGGACGTTTTTTGTTTCAACGGTACATCTGTGATAAAATTGATTGTTCTTTCACCCTTAAAGGTCCCTTTTTGTTTCGGTATTAATCTAATCTACGTAAAATTAGCAGTAATAATAATTAGAATTATTTTTATTAATAGCTAGTTTTTTAAATTCGTACATAATTACAGTAATCACAAATCGGCAGGTATGTTGTTGATAGACGGTGAATGTAGACGAAATGCTGCAGCCTCAGAAAGAATATGCAATTTTTTTCACTTTGTCATGCACTAAGAGCTGCAAGATTTGTAAAATTCCTTCAAAAACTAGTCAGTTACGACCCGGTGATGTCATGTGTGAATACTAAAGGTTCAAAATTTCTAAAAAAATTGATCATTGAGAAGAATTAAACTTTTGTTGAATATAAATAATCTTTAGAAATTATTTAAAAAAAAAACTAATCTGGTCATTTCCACTAAAAAAAAAAACTGATAAAAAGTTCTGAACATATTTGGTCTGGTGTATATTAAATATTGTCCAAAAGATTCCGATTCCCTGATATTTTCAGGTTTTTCAAGTTCGAAAATTTTATAGATTACAAAAATGTTGGCTCTTTTGTTTTATTTATTGCTTAATTTGTAGCATTAAGGTTCTGTGTATTTTTTTTTGTTTTAAATAAAATACACTAATACAAACAATTAAAGGGTCAAAAGAATTTCCGAAATTTTTCCGTGATTTTTGACAAACTGTATTTAAGTGAAAAATGGTCGTATCGAGAATACAAAGAAAGCATTTTGAAGTTCCAAGGTTCTAGTTATTAGATCTTTCGGTGGAAAATTTTTAGAAGCTTCGGTTATCATGCAATTCTAAGAAATAGCGTGACAAAAAAATTTTGCAAATTTTTTTATTTTTTTTCCGTGTTCACGGACTTGTAAACATTTTTTTCAGACAAGCCATTGCATGTACCAGATAGCTTGTTTATTCAGCTTTAATTTCCTTTTTTTTTAATTTCGATACGACCATTATTCATCGAAATATCGGACTTTTATTGGAAAAGGATCCTTTTATCTTCAATCGTCGATATCTCGGCGACAAATGGTTGTACACAGAATTGAAGAGCAGTTTGGAAAACTGTAATAAATTTCCTGCCACAACTTTTTGGAAATATTTTTTTAACTAACACGAGTTAAAAAAAGACAGGAAAAAAGGGTAATTTATGGTTTTTTAGAAAATTGACGGCTAAATTAGAAAGATTCACGAAATGACTAATGTTAAGCATGACTTTTACAGTTCGATATAACCAGAAGAACCCTGTGAAATTTTATCTCGATCTAACGAACCGTCTCTTTGTTTCAAACAGTCAAACTTATGAAATAAAATAAAGGGTCACGATTTTTGAGCTTAAACACTTCATAATCATGATTAAAATGGAAAAAAATGTTTTTCAGCAGAAAACAGGTGGTTTTGAAAAAAACTGTTCTTTAAGTGATTACATACTGCGCAAAAATTAATTACAAATTTGTCTCAAAAAAAGTTATTTGCGGTAAAAATGTGAGAAAACCTGAAGAAAAAAATTTTTTTTTCCATTTTAATCATGATTATGATTTGTTTAAACTCAAAAAACGTGACCCTTTAATTTATTTCAAAAGTTTGCCTGTTTGAAAAAAAGAAACGGTTCGCTACATCGAGATGCAACTTCACAGGGTTCTTCTGGGTATATCGAACTGTAAAAGTCATGTTTAACATTAGTCATTTCGTGAATATTTCTAATTTAGCCGTCAATTTTCTAAAAAACCATAAATTACCCTTTTTTTCCTGTTTTTTAAATTCGTGTAAATGAAAAAAAAAAGATTCCAAAAAGTTGCTCAACATGTTATAAGGAAAATTATTAGTTTTCGAAACTGCTCGGTCCCCTTTAAAATGTTTTTACTGCGAGTTTCTTTGATTTTTAATTTTTTTCCAATTTTTTTTGGATCAGGAGATCCAATTTTTTTTTTTTTTGAATCGCTAAATCTATGAAATATGATTGTCATTTCCTCTCGGTCCAACAGTTTTCGATACATTCGCACTTTTCTATTAAGTACGATCAGCTTTAACAATTTTTTCTTTTAGACCCGATCGATTGGGCATTAAAGGACTTACAAAAATATATTGTCCTTCACATTTCACGCACTCACGACTTGCAACGCTTCACCCTTACCTTACTCTTAAGCGCTTGGTTCATCCTATTACTAGACTCGCAACTGAACGACTCGGGAAAATTCTTCTTTGGCATTAAACCGTACTTGTTGATTAAATTGACTAGCATATCCCACTGGCCACCGTCACACGTCGGATCCTGCGAAAAAAAAGAGTAAATACGACCGCGATATAACTTTCTCATATATCGCGCTTGCCTGTAAGAGGAACGACACCAGCCGTCCGTCCACCGGCTCGTTCCTCCTAGTCGTCTCGACGATGTTGTTCAAGAAGAAATTGCACCGTTCGATTTTGTCCCAAAAAAATAGATAGGCCTGAGAGAACTCGAAATCCTCGAGGTGGTACTGCTTTATGAAGGGCAGGCGGATGACGTTGAGGGCCGCGAACAGCCAGCAGCGGCCCGAGCTCTTCTGGTTCGTCACCGGCTTGCCCTCGGCCTCAATCTGCGAAACCAAAGGAAATATATTTCTTGTATTGCTTGAGGATGAAAATAAATGAGTATACAACAGTTAATATTTAAAACATAACTGAAATGTGTTTATCAGAATAAAATATACTACTTATTTGACGTCAGTGTCAAAATTACAAAAGGTAACGTAGTATATTTTATTCTTACAAGCGTATAATTAAAAAAATAATAATTATTATTACACAAAGATTCTTTGGATAAAAATAAAATAAAGTAATTTAATACAGTCCCTGGATATTGAGAAAGTACCACAATCATCTGCCATTTTGGGAACGAATCCCTATTGCCAACCTTGAAATATATACATTTGAATGTTCCATCATTTTCATTCTATTAACTTTCACATATTTTGAACAATTCATTACACATAACCTCAATATTTCTGTCTAACACCACAACAATGAAATTTTAACACAGACTGACATTTTGGGTAAAACAAAAACTTTGATTGCGGTACTTGGACAATCTAGGGAATATGTCAAAAACTGATGCTTGCCCACAAGCACTACAAACCAAATTCCATGGATAAACGAAACGATAGAGGTAAGTTTATTTTTACAATGTTCTTCCATATCAAAAATCTAAGCTGCAAAAAATATCTAACCTCAAAAATTGTCGATATTGCAGGAAATGACTATAGGCTACATACCCCAACTAGCATTGAATGACACCGACAATAACTGGTAAACAGCTAATAATTGTGTAAAAAAGTTTAATTGTACATAATTAGAGGAGAAATTAATATTTTTTTAAATACAATTCTACAGGCAGACGTCATAGGTTTTTCTTAGAATAAATTTAAAACGGCCCTTGCATGGCAATTGCAAACAAAACGTTATCAAACAACGGCTAATTTATTGGTAAAAAATATGAAAAGGTCTCTTATCACACTACTTATCAATTAATGAAGCCCTTATCATATCATTCTTATCAAACATAAGGGCAAGCAAAAGAAACAACATCATGGCTAATTTATTGTGATAAAAATCACAAATAACAAATATTTCCATCTCTTAACTGGAATTTAATTAGGATATTGAAATTGCTGAAAATAAATACAGTACTTGTAATTCTATCGCAATGAATATAATTTTTACTTAGACTTAGGCATAATTTTAAGCCATCAAAATCTAGGTCAGATGTTTTTCCTGGTAGATCCAGTAAATAACGAACAGCTTCTTATAACTTGGTTAAAAAATTTTCAAAATTAGGTATTAATTCTAATAATAATTGTCATGACATTATTTCCTATACTGCTTGATACCTTTGCTATCTTATCAATTATCATTATTTCAAAGACTACTGTGATTGGGACTGGAATATAATTTGTTAGCAATTGTTCTGTCATTATTTCATTACCTACTATGTAGATTTCTCATGTATTAAAACAAAAATTTTGTAATACCTAAAACTATAATTTTTCGGAATATGATTACAATACCACGAACAATATATTGATTTTTATTTTTGTAATGTTATTTTCATCCATATTAGGTAAAAATTACACTACGAAGTCAATTCACAGAACAATACAAACGCATAGATGCTATTTGCATATATTAAAATAATCTTCCACAAACACTATTCAGCTATAATGTAAACTAAACAAAAAGATAAGATACTTACAACTGAAAGAGCAATATTGTTTTACTATTTGCACAATTTAACAAGACAGACTGCTGAGCTTTTGCAATATCCCCGTCTGATGCTTTTTGAACTAATTTAAATAATACCCGGATTAAGACTTACCTTGTAATTAAAAACGTGTTGGGTTTCTTCCAGGGCTTTTCTAGATATTGCAGCGTCGAAAGGGTCCACTCTCGAGCACACATTTTGAGCGAGAATATTTTTTTCTTGGGAGTAGAAATTCTTTTTGAATGTGTCAATAACATCACCGGTTAAAGCTCCTTTAACAGAATACATTTCATGCATTAATTATCCGTGACACCGATTAGGATATCTTCAAGTTAAAGTTTCATTGGAAAGTTTGATAAAAAAAATTAGGACGTGCTGATTAGGCAAATTTTTGACAGGTCTGCACGAATGTAAACAAATTGTTTAAATATCTAATATACACATTTTATTTGCTCCCAAACAGGTTATTCGACAGATAGATTCATTATCGGGGAGCATTATAATGCAGATTTTAAATAAATATTGACGTTTTAACTCACCAAATTCCATTTTTGTGAAATTTTTGTCCTAATTTTCTGCTGGTTCACGATTGGGTCACAATTTCTAACTGAGTAGAATTGACGTGCGCTGGATTTTAATGTCGAAAGCGCCCTCTAGGGCAGGGCCGGCCTGTAATTAATTTGTATATAAATGTGTATGGTGTCTAGAAACTATGAGTAACAAATTTAGATGATTCTCTTTATAAAAATACACGTTCTTATGACATATTTTCTAAGACTCAATATTAACAGAATTATATAATCTCAAAATTACTTTTTTAATTATCTTATCTTCTATTTTCAGTTAATCATTTAATTTTCAATTTAATTGAATAAGTAGGTAGTAACTATATCAATTTAGCATAAAAAGTTGCATGAAACTATTTCTATAAGAAATTTAAAAATTTCGTCATTCACAGACCAGAAAAGAATTTATTTCTTTTCAATATATAACAAATATTTTACCAAATTAGAGGACGCTAGTGTCCCATATGCACCCATAAATAGTGGAGGGGACATAAAGAACATGCAATTTTTGTAATGTGTTAAAAATTAAATAAATCAAACAATAAATAATGAAAGTATGTTGGTGTACAAAAGAACACTAGCGACCCTAGCGGTAAAAACCATAAGTAATTTCTATTATTATATTGTCAAATTAACAGATCTATTGAAGAAATCAGTAAAACCAGTTATTCTTTAATGTTTTGTGTACTGGATGCCACAGAACATCTTACCACAATCCACTATCGTGGTTCGTTGTCATCAAATCAAAACAAACTGTTAAAAGGGATATGTGAGGTGTTTATTTATTAATTTTGCAAAAAACATGCCTTCTGATATAAAAAGTGAGTAGTCAAGACAAGTCACAAAGTAGATTATTTACCTTTCTCCTTCCAGAACTTGTAAATAGCAGTTTGCCCGGAGATATTTTGCCGGGACCTAGCCTCAACCCAGAGCAGAGCACGACATACATAAGAAAATTTTTAATACAAAACATACCACAATCTGACCTTGGCACCCTCACAACCGATTTACAATGGAAATTCATGTTAGAAAAACACTCCCTGCGGAAGAAACAGAAGCCAAAGGGTAAAAAAACGTTTCTCACACGCAAACAACGCCTAGAGCTCGGTTTACTGAAGTTACCCAAGGAAGGATGGAGTTACGCTTCCTTGGAACCTTTGAGGGACATGTGGAAGGAGTATATGAGGCAAAACCTGGAAATTGCCAAGGCCCCCAGTTGTAACGATCAAGAGTGGAATGCTGTTAGCGCAATTGTGGCTAAATCTGAACTGGTAGGAGCGGAAATGACCATTATCAAGTCTAAAGTACCCAGTCAGGTTGGAATGTCGGGCGTCGTAGTTTTGGAAACTAAAATGACCTTTCAAATAGTCACTCCCCAGTCTAAACTGAAAAGTAAGTCAAATTTTATGAATGAATCAAGATTGCTGTGTAAGTAGTCAACCCATCTCTAAAACAGTTGAATGTATTGTTAAATGACTAGCTGTGATCAAGTTGGCATTGAATTTGACAGTTATTTGTTTAGAATTGAGAATGTTTGAAATTATTTTAATTCTGAAATGCATTAATGCGAAAATTATCGTATTTAGTGATATATTTCCTGAATTTCAGCTATTATCAAGACCAGTTCGGTGTTCCAGTTCCAGTTGGACAATATGAGGTTCGTAGTGTATGGCAAACATATCGCTACAAGGCCACACGAACGGAGCGTTAAAAAAATTAAGTGCCAAATGATTCCTGATCTGTAAAAGTGTTATTGTAATTTAAAGGTGGAGATATACAAGTACTTGTATTTTATTATAGAGATAAAATAAAGTGTTATTATTAGAAACTGTACAACAAAGTACGAGTAATTGTCCTGCAGGTATAAAAGTACACAGCTAATAAAATAAAAAAATTGTGTAAAATATGATGAATTTTGAAAAAACGTAAAAGCATTTGAAAGTAAGTATCTAACTCTGTATTTGGGGAACTTTGCAAGTTAAAGGATTTACGAAATTTTAGAAAAACTGCAAGGCAGATTTCATAAAATTTATTATTTTAAATAATCATTTGATATGAAATTTAGTTGCCCGCGTCTATCCTATTTGGGAAAAAAATACCTGCACTTTCATAAGCCTCTATCTACACTATAGATATAAATTGCCTATATTATTTTAGTAAAATATTTTTAATAAAATAATAGAATAGTATAAATAAAATTTTATATATTTATGTGCATTATTAATTTTGATTTTACTTTTATGAGGTTTAAATAACATCCAGCAAAATATTACACATCGGTCAAGAACCAAAATTGATATACCATATTTAAAACCGTATTGTTCGTAAAAAATAGCTTCAGCGCTCATTCCTTGATTAATTTTTACCCGGGCGACATCTAATCCAGATCAACGGAACTAAACGTCAAATTCAGCAAATTATGAATGAATATTTATTAATAAACTGATGAGTATATTGATTAGAAGACAACGAAGTAAAAATTAACTTATTTTAGTAATTCTGCAAACATATAAACAATTTATTTTTTAAAGGCGAAGAAAAATATACATTTATAAATAAATTACTCGTTGAAGATTAAGGTACTATATTCTATTTTTACTTTATTGCCTTTATTTATCTTTTGTTCAATGCTGTGTAAAGTCTTAGTAGTCTTAGTACTTATTCTACTGTTTCATAAACATAATAATATGGTAATTAATTAAAATAACACGGTACACTGTTTTTGATAGAATACAGGCAACCAGAAATACAGGTCAGGTGGCCAGGAAACTTTATCTGTCGTCGCCACTAGATGGAAATACAGTAGCCTCAAAGTCGCCATCTGTTTGAAATAAAAAGGGACGTTGTTAAAATATTCCGTTAGATGGCGCCACGCTAATATTTTTATAGTCACTAAATTATGAGAGTGCCGCTAACAATGTTCTCATTAGATATAAAGAAGCATAACGTTTCTATCTAATAGCGAGCCAACATGGCGTCGGTTGACAAATCAGAACTGCATACAGTGAATATATGGTTGCATAGTTTGTGAGAGTTATTAAACTTGATATCTAACCGTTAATAACTATATGCAACTAAACATACACATTTGGCCCCAACATAGCAGTCGATGACGGTGCTCTTTCAATTCAGACTAACTTTTTGGTCTAAAATATTCCGAAAGAATGTTTAAAATCAAATCAAAAGTCAAACAGCTGTCGCCAGAATTATTTCAAAAAACGCGTTACCATGTGAAATTTTTGGGAGCCATGCAAGCATGCTGCGCCGCCACAATGGCGATAATTCGCCACATCTAGCAAGTACGAATGCAGGTGAATTTGCACTCTAAAATTAATTTTTCATTAAATATGTTTTAATCTATTACAGAAGCTTTGTAATAGAAAAATTAGCCTCGAAAAATTATTAAACAATTGAATTTAAATCTGTGGTGTCCCATGAAATTTGACAAAACATTCAATTGTTTTTATGTGTTTGTGGCACATTTGATAAGGATGTGCATTATAATAATTAACCTTATCGAGACTTTGCTTTTGGAGAATTTTTATTGAGCAGAAACGAGGACAAATAAACATAAAATAATTGTTATAAAAAAGCGAGATATTGTGAAAATTATGAAATTTTCAATTATTCCTAAATGAACTTGTGAAAATGCTGAAGTCTCCAATTTTCTCGTAAACGCACTTAACTTCGCATTTTTCCATATTTACAAAAGCAGTATTTATAAAATTTACTATTAAATTAAAATAAATTTTCATTTTGCCTTTAAAACGAATTTAGATTCATTTTAAATAAAAAATATAAGACGCGTCTTAACTTTTTACTCTAAAAAATAGTTAACAAAACGTCTATTCACAATAAATAAAACTGTAAACGGAACTATATAACGGCTTTCCTCATCTTTTCGCTCAAGCCGGCTTTGGTCCTTGTGAACACGTCGAACTCATACTGAAGTTTGGACCAAATCCCCCTGCACATGTTCAACAGCCGTGAGTCTATCACAGTCGCCTTCCTTGCTAGTTGGTACTCCCTGTAAATTATTCTCTCAGCGTACCTGAATTTCTTCTTCTGTATCAGGCTCAGACTGAGGTACAAGCGGCAGCGTGCCGCTGTATTCGGATCTCCCATCCTCAGCGCCAGTTTTAATTGATGGATTGATATTTTCCCTGCGGTATCCGCGCACAAGGGGAAATAGTCACCTAGAATCAAGTTAGTTTTGAGTGGTTGGGCTCGATTAAAGTATTTATATACTGAGATTTGTATAAAATTGTTTTACCTAATGCTGAAAAGGCACCTCCCAACGTAGACAACCAGGAAAGAGCGTGGTCCAGCTCACACCTTTCTCTTACCATGACGTAAACTATATCGTTCCTAAGGAAGCATTTTTTAGAAATATATCGCACGTATGTAAGACGACTTACCAATTATAATCTATTAAATCGTACTTGGTACAATTTAGCACTAATATTAAAGTGGCGTTGTGGCCAGCAGTCCATTTTTGTATAAAATGCACTCTATAAAATTCACTAATCATTAATTCGCGTATGAGGTAATTTACAAAGGCACTGTCGAGTTGTACTTTTTTAATTTTATTCTTGGTTTTGAAGCAGTTCTTTTCGCGAGCGTTGACCTTTTCCACTTTATCATTCTCCAAATTAAATTTACAGTAGTTGTACTTTTTATCACTGATGTTTAATGCCAAAACAATCATCTTTTGAGGTTATATTCTAAAAGCATCGGGAATTGTTGAAGGTAGCAAACATAGATTGTAGCAAAAATTACTTGACGAAGATTGTTAAATTAGAATAAATAGCGACTGATTTACGTGAAATAAATTCATTCATTCCTTTCAGGAATTTAGGCCTATAAATTTTCAAATTCGACCCAATCAGTTTCGGATTCTTTACCTTTCGGACTATTCGTTCGTATTCGTACTTAATCGGACTAAAATCGGACAATGACAAAAAAACAGAAACGGTTACTAATTATAGTACATTCAATAATAATAAGGAACATAATAGGAACTATTCCTTAGACATTTTAAATATTTTAAAATTTATAATAGAGAAACTTGATAAATTATTAAAAACTTACGTTTTCCACTTATTACCACTTTCACACTCTTTAATAGAATATTTTCGTCCTTTTTTATCCGCGTTGAATATAAATAAATCGGAAACGCTGTTAAAAAAACCTCTAGGTTTAGCTAAATTACTACTCTCATGATTTTAACTTGAAATCAGAGCAGCTGATTAGCTGAATATAAAATCCGTAATAACTTCTGCCATTCAACCAATCAGCTGCACCGATTTCAGCTTGTAATCAACCTCATAAAACTAAACAAAACGACAAAACAAAGTCCACCGTTCTGCCATAGAAAATATATGTAGTACTAACTATATTTTCCATGCGTTCTGCTTATGTAATCATGGCATACTTGATGTGATAACAATATGGTATGCTTTATATTAACTTTATATGCATATTTCTACTATTTCTAATAGCTAAAAAGTTTCTTAAGGACATTAATTTTCTTTTTGTATGAAGTTAAGATACATTTTGGACGTAGAATTTATATTTCATAAAGAAACAAACTTTATTTTATATCGGCATTGAAACTGTGATTATAAAATTAGTGCTAAACCTATTTTAAAGCAATTTTAACAAGGTAGATGTATAAAATTTAAATTCTCTCATTTTATTGAATCGAACTATATTTATCTATTACATCATATTTTGCACAAGGACACTTTATTTTATCCATTTTAGTGGCACACGGATCAATTAAATATTACTTTTTAAATTATTTTCCAACAGATTCTTCAATTATCAGAAATTATATTAATCTATGAAGGATACGCGGTTAATAATTGATCTTGATAGAAAATGTTTAACGCAGGAATTGAAATTAATTCGGTAATCTGGACTGGCCTATTAATTTTTGCATTTATAAATTATATATATTATATATTATATTATATATCGTATAAGTATGTACAAATTGAAAAATTACATACATATTTAAGTATTTGTGCGTATTATAGATAGAAAAATTGTGGAAAGTTGTGTTTTTGTTTAATAAAATGAAAAGATAGAGATAAATAAGCTTCCTATCTCATCATCTGTGGAATGCGTAACAACATGAAAGGTACTCCTTTCAAACCTATCATATAATATGAGTAAAAGAAAGTTTTCTTCAGGATTTATAGGTTTCGAGTTGTAGAAAGCACGCGAATAATTTAAATATCCCGCGAAATTCGGTTCTTTTTGCCCCACGTTTGAGAGGCAAAGTGTCAGTTTTTAAGTTGGTATAATGTAAAATAGTGCGTTTGATTTGGTGGCATTTTTAATGAAAATATTTTAAGACAATTAAACAAATTTAAAACTTTTCTTTTCGCCGAAGGACAACCGAATAATCGAAGCGTGTGTATTGAAAGTATGATGTGAATTCGCCCTCCCCGTCTGGTCGATTTAACGAATTAAAGGTGCAGCGACGCCATTTTTATTATAATCTGTCAAATCCGCACAAGGTTGGTCTGTCAAACGTTATTTTAGAAGTAAACAATAATATTTATGGAAAAACCGTTTGCTATCCGATATTGCGCCACATATCGGGCCCCTTTTCATACATTTCCCGTCACGGGGACGCCCCTTACCGTTGCACTGAACACCCAGTTCTTTTTTAGGTCAAGTGTCTCTTGACTGACCAATATGGGCATACATGCAAGCGCTTACATGAGGGTGTGAGGACCAGAATGTAAGAGCACCATCCGAACAATACTGGGATCATGCAAGGATCCAAAAAGATACCTATCAATGATCTCAACCCGCATATAACGTGCCAGATCTGCAGTGGTTATTTCATAGATGCCACGACCATCACCGAGTGTTTACATACGTGTAAGTTTTAACGTAACGACCAGGTTAGTGCTGTCGGTTACCGTGAACCCTCGTTTTTCAGTTTGCAGGAGCTGCATAGTCAAGTATTTGGAGAGTAACAAGTACTGTCCCGTTTGCGATGTGCAGGTTCACAAGACGAAACCGTTGCTTAACATCAGGGCGGATAAAACTATACAGGACATCGTCTACAAACTGGTTCCAAGACTCTTTCAAAGTAACGATATAGTGACGTATTTCCTCGAACGTTTTCATATGAGACATTTTCTTGTAGATGAGATGCAGAGGCGGCGGGACTTCTACGAAAGTCACCCCGAGGGGAAACCCTCCAGCTTGGAGATGTGCGGCGAGGCAGCTTATCAGCACCTATTAACGCCCGAGGAGAGCGTTTGTTTGACATTAAATTATCATGGGTCGAACGGTACACCGAGGTGAGCGATTATACATTTAATTTATCGAAAATCGTGAAAGTTGCGTTTACTGAAAATATAAAGATTGTGATTTTGTGAAATTCGAGGAAATTTTGTTTAATTCGAGAAAATTTTGTGTAATTCGTTTTATAGGTATCTTAGATGTCCTGCTGCGGTGTCGCTCGGCCACTTGAAGAAGCTGATCAGGGCGAAGTACGATCTAACGGAAAACCATAGGGTCGAGATTTTGTACAACCAGGATTGCCTTAACTCTTTCTTGACCCTCATGGATGTAGCGTATATTTACATGTGGAAAAGAGTAAGTTAAACATACATTTCTTTTTTTCTGTTCGAGTCAATGGTTTTTTTATAAATCTTACAGTAGATTGAGTAAAATTGCACTCAGGCATGTCACTAGAGCTAATTTTCAATTTTAAAATACCTTTTGTAATTATTAAGAAAAATTGACTAAACGTGTAATACATATTTAAAATCTTTTTGTGTAAATAAAAATGTTTCATGTGTTAGAAAACGCTGGCAATAAAAATAATCTAAACCACCATTTTTGTGTTTCAAGGATTACTTTTACAATTTTAAAAATTGAATATAATAGATATTTGCCTAAATATTAACAGACGTAAAACTTGAAATGTTTGTTGAAGTTGAGGTTAAAAAACCAATTTTTTGTGATGAAATATTAAACTACACCTTTAAATAAAAACAATGTTAAAAAAAAATCAGTGCAGATATGGGAGGTTTTTAACCTATTTTACCATGTAACTATTATGCCAATAAGAATCTCACTGTTAAATTTGAAACGCCTGTTTAAAATTTTAATTATTAATTATTAATTTCTTTTTTGTATATCAAAATTTAGGGCAACCAGTAGACACATTAATTTTGGGATGATGTTAAATATGTGACCGAGTAGTTCAAACGTCCCAATTTTATTGCAGATTTTTGATAATTTTTTTTTTTATTCCGTGGTTGAAATATTTTTCTAACTTAACAAATTAATCGGTATATAGCAATAATTGTGTACATTTTGTGTCTTTAGGGTTCACAAATATATTTTATTTTCTGTGAAACGGATTTGTAACAAAGATATTGTCTATTTATCGACCTCAGATAAGTTAAATATGTAAATGTACTTTTATTTGTTACATTTTTATAGAACCAATTTAAAGTGTGGGTAAAGAATACCGATTAAGTTTTAAAAATTGTAAAAATTTTAGCGCCCTGTTAAAATTTAACGACACAAATCAAAATTGCCTCTTAACTGCCATTTTTTGGGGTTAATAGGGTTTCAAAGGTAATGTTGACTATCAATACAATGTCAACACTGAGTAGTTCAGATGTAGGGTTGTTTTTTACATGATTTATTAAAAACGGTATTAAGAGCATAAAATATATAAAACAATCAAGAACTAACGAGATTATCAATTAAATTTTTTTAACTTTCAGAGTTCAAGAACAACAATATCAAATAAAAAAATATGTATTCGATTTCAGTTAAATAAATAGGCCCAAAAAGTCCGATGGGTTCAAATCTGGAAAACCTGGAGGTTATGTGACAGGATGTCTATATTCCAGCCATCTGTTTGTATATTGTTTTTCGTCATAATCATAACTTTATTGCTGGTTAGAGTTATTAAAATTGCGTACGTTTTAGGAATCTTAATTTTTTACAAAAAACCATCAAAATGTGACAACAAAAGAAAGTAAACAAACAACTCTCGATACTTTCTGTACAAATTGCTAAAAATAATAATTTTAATAATTGCAGATGGGTTCATATTTCTGACGCTTTATCGTCCTCCTAAATTTCTTAACAATGTTTTAATTTAAAAAATGAGCTGTACATCGAAACTCATTCACAGAAAGGCCCCTTGGAGCTCACCTACAGGATCTACGAGTGTTCGGCCAAGAAGCTGAAGCTGGAACCGGAACAGGCGGAGTCGGCGCAGGCCAACATCAACAACAACAACTGGAAGGAGGTGCAGCTGAGGATAAGCGAGACGGGAGAGATGTCGATCATCCAGGACGCGGCGCTCAGCCCCTCGATCCTCGAAATTGTAAATAGTGATCAGCAAAAGTACAAAAACGAGGTCGTGACGGTGGTCGAGTCGAAATCTGCCGGTAAGGGCGCCCCTCCCAAGAAGGAACTGCCCGGGTTGAAGTATATCGGGAAGAACGCGAACGTTCCGACGCCCCCTGTTCCCGTTACATCCCCGAAGACCGTCGAAAGTGACGTTAAGTTGAACGATGTCTCGGCGGGTTCGGTCACTTCCGAGAACGCCCCCGCGTGTGCCCCACAGGAGAGCCTGAGATTGGAGACCAGTTCGGTGGACGTGACGGCGCCGAGTTTTCTCTCGAGCTGCGCCACGTTGTCTTCCGGCACCACCACGATGGTCTTCAGCACCATAAACAGCACCAAGTGCAGCACGAAGAGCGACGAAGCCCCCAAGAGCGAGCCGGCGAGGGTTGAAGCGGCGAAAACCGATAAAGTCGTGGCGATCGAGCCTCCTAGGAGCGAGGCGCCAAAATCTCCTTCGGTCGTGAATAATGTCGGCGATAGGAGCCTGAAGCGTAAGGGCGAAGCGGCGACGGAGGTGGAGCCGCCCGCCAAGCTCCCAAAACCTACGATTCTGAACCACTCGTTGGGGTTGTTGAACCTCTCCAACAACCACCCGCTGAAGAAGCACTCCAAGTTGAACAGGAACGGGGAGAACGTCAAAGAGATTGTACTTAGGTGAGTAGATTTTTTTTTAAATCAATTTTTACTCTAGCATTGAGCCTTGAAATATTCGTGTCAGAGTGCACTTGATGTAAGTTGATCCATTACTCTGCCACTGCGCATCCTACCTACACAAATGAAATTGGTTCACACGTACCCATTTCGTAGGACGCGCTTAATAGAAAATCTAACGGAGAAAAATTTCAGGGCTTCTACTCCCGCCATGGATCCGGCAGTGTCAGTCTCCCCCTTACCCATGACCAAACCCCCGACGACCACCACCACCAAAACGGTCACGGCGACCACCACGACGGACTCGACCTTCTCCAAACCGAGTCTCATCAACAAGAACCTGACCGCCGCGCAACTGACCAGGCCCGGCACCCCCATCGCCACCACCAAGCCTTCCATCATGTCCACGAAACCGTCGTCTATCATTCCACCGAAGCCCCCGATCAGCGTCTACTCGAGCTGCACCGTCAAGTCGCCCTGCTACATGCCGAAGACGACGTACAATCCCATAATCAATGTCCCGAAGCCCGTGACGAGCACCAGCATCGTAAAAAACGAGACGAAACCGCCTAAGAATGACGCCAAGACGCCAGCCGGTTCTTCCATGCCCAAAATCGATGGGAAGTGCGGGAATGCCGCGACGTCGCAGCAGCAAATCATCAATTTGAACAATAAGATGGGCGTTAAGTCGAAGCCGAGTTCGCCGATCGGGTATAAGACGTTGCGAGACCCGCCGAAGAGTTGGAATTCCCAGATATCGAAAGCGAACATCAACAAGCCGTCGCCGGATCCCAAATATTCTGAGCTGAAGAACGTGAGGCCGGCCAAGTTCTTCAAGATGCGGAACAACATGCCGCGGTACCTGGGTAAGTTGCGTTTTTTCTCGAAATTTTATTTGAAGGCTTTATAGGTGAGCGGCCAGTACTTTAGTGTGCAGCAAGATCTGATTTTGGACGGGTCTGAGTAACCAGATTCATTTACCAAATGTGGAGGAAGTTCTTCATTTTTGGCCATTTTTGATTTTCTTCTAAGAAAACTTAATTTTTTTTCTCACGTCCAGGAAATCCGGCGTCCGGCGTGAAGCCGATGTACCAGGTCCACATCAGTCCCGAGAAGGACAAAGGGCAAGAGACCAACAAGTCGGAGAAGAGCGAGATCCGCAAGCACTCCATCGTCAAAATCGACCCCAAAACCCTGAAACCGATCTCCGAAAAGGCTCCCGAGACCACCAGCCTGAGCAACCACAGCTCCAACGCCAACCAGATCTTGTCCAATCACAATCTCACCAGCCAGGCGTATCAGAACTTGAACAGCGCCGTCGCCGCCAACCAGTCCCTTCAGAATTCCAACCTCGGCCTGAGCGGTCAGAGCATGGGCGGCTCCAACCAGACGGACCTGAAGATCAACGCTAGTTCCGTGTCGATATTCAACCCCCTGAAGCTGCAGAGCTCGCCGAAGAACGAGCGGAAGTCGCCGAAGAGCCCCCACTCGCCCAAACTCAAGGCGCAGGCTACCAGCTCCCCGACGGGCAGCAAGAGGGACAAGGTACGATTGCTAGACAAAGAAAATGTTGAGAAATACCATTAATCGAATCTGTCGCAGGTCAACCTCAACTTCACGCCGCCCAACCCCTTCGTGCCCAATCTCACTTCGCCGACGATGAGCCCCAACCAGTTCCTGTACCCGCCGGGACCCCCTGGTTTCCCCTCATACGACCCGCGCATGATGGCCGCCTACCACAGCCTGTGGTACGGCCAGAGGATGGGCTTCCCCGCCTCGCCGATACCCCGGCTCAGCCTGGACCTCAACCAGCAGCGGAAGAACTTCGAGATGATGCCTTCCCCCACCAGCCCCAAGATGGCGGGGATGAGCCAGCAGGGGCATAGTCCGCAGGTCTGTAACCGTTTAAAATGCAAAAAATACTTGTTTGGTCCTTCGGGACTGGATTTTAGGTATCCGGTTCGAAGGACCAAAAATTAATGGAATGTTTTCAATGTCAGGATTAAGGTGCAGATATTGTTTGTAAATTTGTTTGCTGGTATTGATTTTAAGGAGAAACTTGAGAATTAAAAATCATGGTGAAATTACTTTATGCTAAGGATTTCGCGTTCATTTAAAATGCAAGAATATCTGTTACAATTAAGAAAAATTAACTGTTTGGTCCTTTGGGACCAGATATTAGATATCCGGTTCGAAGGACCAATAATGAGTGGAATTTTTAAAAATTTTATCGACTTTAACAAAGGAACTTAAAAGATAAAAAAATCATTGCGAATGTACTTCAAGGACTGCCTAACCAACAATTGTTCACTTAAAATGCAAGAACATTTGCTACACGTATAAAAAATAAAAGGATACTAAGTATCCGGTTCGAAGGACCAAAAATTAGCGAGATTTTGTCAGTCGCATCGAAAGAATAGAAGAGTTAAGAAATAATTATGAATTTATTGTAACTTGTGTATATTTTCCCGTTTAGATTTCTACGAAAATGACGTCTACAACATCCTCGAGCGTCGCTTCCCCTACCAAGACGCAGAGTCTGCTACCTTCTGCCGCCCCAAAGTCCAGCTTACCCTCTAAAAAATCCTCTAAAGAGTCGAAAGGGGAGAAGAGTCTCGAGACGACCGTCGAAAAGCTGACTCAAAGTCGGAACAAGGAGATAAGCGGGAAGAGCGAGCAGGCGCACAGCGCGGCGAAGGAAAAGACGAAGAGGCTAGAGAGTCACGAGGTGCGAAAAGGGAACGAGACGCCCGGGGAGACAACCTCGGGAAGGGCAGAGTCGAAGGCGAAAGAAAACGAAACCAGCGAAAGCAATTCCTCTTCTTCTTCCTCGACAATAGCGGCCGCCGCTCCAGTTGAGGAGAAAACGAAGCCGCCGGGTGACCAGAGACAATCGGAGGAGGTGAAATCTAGTGAGAGTCCGGGGAAGACGGAAGGGGACTGTGACGCCGTCGCAAAGAAGTCGCCTAGCGAGGAGGCGGCGGGGTCGTCGGTGAGGAGCAAGGATCTTAGTAATAATGTTAATAATGTAAAGAATAGCGATGAGGTAGTCGAGGGGGGTAAATGATTTTTTTGTTAAGTTATCGCGTAGTTTTGGGTTCTCTTTTTTTTGTGGTGTTTCCGGGCAATGGGAGGTCCCGAAAAAGTACTTGCACGGATAGACGTCAATTGTTTCCCATAAAAACCTGTAAAAATCAAAAAATCGGAAAGTTTCCCTTTATTTTGACAGATATTTGCGTGTACGTGTGTAGTAGGCCATGTTTAAAACAGTCGCATCCACTTACTTTGATTCGCTTGTTTTAGATCATGGCCAACTCGAATGCTGAGTCAAAATAATAGTAAAACGTACCAGTTATCGTGTTTAGGAAATTTTTTTTTAAAGTACTGGAATAGCTGGTGCAAAATCGTCCTAAGAGGTTCGGAAAAAGTACTAGAAAAAAAAATTTTGCAGTTCTGAAGCAGATAGTTTCCGTTCAACGAAATCTTTTCACGAATCTAGTCGGCTGTGAGAATTTACTGAAAACAATCGGGAGTAAGTATTTTGACAGCAAAGCGGTTGTTACGGTGACGATTCGTCACGGCCTACTATATCGAGTGATATCAGATGTCACTATAATTGAGGATAATTGTGTCAAATGTCACAGTTAAATGCCAATATTGAGCCAAAAACGAAAAAAAAAAATGGGATATTTTTCGAAATGCGTTTCTGCACCGAACTATTTTTAATTTCTGGCGGGTAGCGGTTGCTATAACCTAAAAATTATTATTAGCCGATGAGTAGGATTATTTTATTTGTTAATTTGTTTTGTTTAAATCAAAATAAAGAAGTTATTCTTATCGGATTGCTTTAAAAGAAGAGATTTGGTTCTGCGCATAAAAAAAGTTAAAATCGCTAAAAATTCCCAATGTTTATGGCGAAAGCTCGTTTCTGAATTATCTGTTATATTTTTTTTTTCTACTGGTAAAGAGTTGTTCGATTTTGAAAAATGCCCTGTTTTTGGTTAATTGGCGGGAAATTTGAAAATTTAAAGAAGTTTTTGAGAAAGCCGATTTATATGAAAAGTTATCGTAAAATTTTATGAACGGGAGTTGTTTAGAATGAAACTTTATGATGTCGTACCAGTTTTGGAAGTGGCTGGAAAAAATCGGTGAATTACAAATTTTTTTTAATAATATTATTTTTATTCCTCAAAGAGTAAGTTTTGCTGCCTCAGGTTAAATCAAAATAAATACACTGTTTAAAAAAAAAAATTTGCCATATTTGGATTATTTTTGGGACGAATTAATAAAAACCAATTTTTTTTTTTTGCTGTCCACAGTGGTAGATTTATTTAATATCATTAAATAGTAGTGAGTTTGTACGAATTGTAAAAATTTTACAAAAAACCGTTTATATAAAACTTGCGAAACAACGAAAATAGAAAATATACCGACATACTTACTCTTATTACGGTCCTTAAAAAAATTGTTCAAAATTGCCGGAATTGATGGACACAATCTCCCTCATTCTAAATACGAGGTAGAACACCCGTGAAGCAAAAATCTGCACAACTAACTTTATAAGCGTTTTTTTACTCTCCCCGTCTAAGTTCTTCCTCGTTATTCCCTTTTACATTGCGACAAACTAAATTTCTCAAACAGCCTCGTAAAAAAACGATCAGTTCTTATTTATTACAATTTCTCGCTCAGCTTCAGCCGTTTCCGGTAGTTCTGGTTCCTCATTGCTCCTTGAAACAACCCATATCGTAGTTAACACCACATTTACGGTGCCAGACGATTTCTTAATGGATATCTATCCGTGAGCGTATAAACGAGATGCCGCGGATGCACTTTGTCCACACTCCCCGTAAATTAAAAGCATGTAACTGTGTAAATTTCCTTATGTCTTGATTTTTTCTTGTGGAAATCATGTTTCGTAACCTCAAGTATTGCGTCCAAAGCAGAATTTGTTTCGACACTTGCTTTTTCTGAATCTTGCCATTTTTCAAATGTCTGGTACTTAAGTTCTTGTTATGCCGTTGATTTCGCAGGGACTAGACTTGCATCATCCCATTTGCAGCTGTAAATCCAAAGGCAAATTTTCTCCGGATTCTTCGGATATTTTTGAAAAATAGTTTTCCTGTAAGTTCTGTCTCAAATTTAATTATTTGACAGTATCAAGGCAACAGGAAGTTTGAGCTTGCATTTAGAAATAATTTTCGTGATTTCTGTCACATAATTTTCTTTCTTGGATCGTTTTATGAAAAGAAATTTTCATACAATATTTGTTTTGTAAATTTTTATTATGACACTCAATATATTGTCAAACTAATATGAATTTTTACATTGTCATAAATATTAAAAAAAATTTTTTTTATCCGGTTACTTCCAAAATGGCATAAAGTTTGGTAATAAATAACTATAACTTCTTAATAACGCTTTGCGATATCTTTCTTTTCGTGCAAATTGACCTTTGCCACGTTTAAATTTTGTTTAAATCCTCCACCTGTGACGAACCGCACTGTTTGACGTTTTTTTCGAGTTTCTAGCGATGCAAAGACGATCGCTTACATACTAAAACCTAATAAGAAATATCTTTCCCACATATGCCGTACTTTTTCCCTTACTGTAAAATATCTGTCAAAACCGTTAATCGATATTTTTGTAAAAAATTCCAAGCAGGTACGTTTTCGTCCTCCCGTCGGAGAAGGTTATTTTTGCATTTTATTTATTTCAGTGACCTACCGTTCGGGTATTTTCGTTCCTTTTGGGGAAGTTTTTCAAAAAAGTGCCTACTCCTTTACATTACAGAGGGTCGACGACGGTTTTTCCGTTTCTTTTTTTCGTGACGTAGCAGCTATGAGGTGCCTTTTTGAAAATTTATTTCGTAGTCCTCAGCGTGTGTGCCCTATAGGGAGCCCAAAAAAAAAGTAAATAAAAATTAACAATAGAAATTCCTCCACCACTTCTAAATACTCTCTGCTTTAATAGACTAGGTAAAAATGAGGTTTTCTGTTCTTTCTTGCGTATAAGAGGAAATGTAGGTAGATGTGCATATTTTTTACTGATCCTTACCTTCTGTTAAGTCATTTCGTTAAAAGTCTACACGCATCGTCCATTTTTTATTATGAATCCGAGCGTTTTTCAGAATTTTCGCCTACCAGCGGTTCTCAACATTTTTATCGTGAAATATCCCACGAAGTGACCGAAATAGCCCCTCACTCTTATTTTGTGAGACGAAATCTGCGACCAAGTCAATATTATGTCGAGGAACAGTTTGGATAATTTCTATAAAAAAAGTTTTGGAACCGCTGCATTACGGAAAAAATACTACGAAATCAGTTTGCAGATGACTTTTTTGACTCACGTTCATAAAAATAATTACTGACAGTTATTCGTGCTCGTTAATGGCTAATAACCGTTTCGTTTGTTAGATGGCAGCACTGTCAAGAGTGTACATCTTGTTTCAAGAATCCTCGGTGTGAAAATTTTAAGTAGTATTTAACGATATTGAAACAATATTATTTCTAAATAATTTTTGATTCATGGAAACTTGAAAAAATCATTTCGTACCTTTGGATGTAGGGGGTTATATAACCTCAAAGTTGAGTGAGGCGATTTCTTTTCTAAATTTGATACGTTTATTGGTGATAACAAATTACATGTACGAAAAAAAATGAGCCTTAAAGGACTTAAGGAGGCTCTATAGCAAATAGGCAACCACCAATACATTTTTGTAGATTTTATTACATAGTTTGCCTAAATATGAATCATTGCACAAATAACAAAGTTTCCTCCATTCTAATGCAGATTTTCTATAAAATGGAATAAGTTTGAAACTCAAATTACTTTTTGTTGTAAAGAAATTTGTAATTTGGCATCGTAAATTACAAATTTCTTTACACTAAAGAGTAATTTGAGTTTCAAACTAACTCCATTTTATAGAAAATCTGCGTTAGGATGGAGGAAACTCTGTTATTTGTGCATTAATTCATATTTATACAAACTGTGTAATAAAATCCATAAAAATATATTGCTGGTTGGCTATTTGCTATAGAGCCCTCTTAAGTGACTTTTGTTAATTAGAGAATTCATATCTTACAAAAAGGCCTCGTCTTTGTCAATTAAATATTCCGTTTTTGAAAAAAAGTTGGTGTTTAGAATTTTGAAGATTTTTTTCAATAGGTGCAACTATTACTGACAATAAGTATACTGCATTTTAAAAAAAATTGTTTAACTCGAAGAAATGCAAAATATCAATTATAAAAAGTAATTTTGAGGTTATGTAACATCTTATTGCACTTTCGAAAATGTCAGAAGGAACTTGTACCACTATCTTCATGAGTTGAGTCGCCTCCTACATTTTTGGTTGATAATTTTCACACCCCCTGTATATCTAACGTAAAATTAAATGAAACTGCACGAATGTGAGGTTATGGTATTCCTAGTTTTTCCATAAACCTATTCTAGACAATTGAATGAGAAAGCTGTTTTTGTTTTTTTTTGAAGTTAACACCGCTCTCAGTGCTGCCGTCTGGTGAGGAAAGAACCAAGTTTAAATTTTGTGGAAATCTGGTAGGCGGACTTTCTAATCCCAACATTTTCTCATAGTCAATTTTTTCGATTTTACGTCGACACTGATCGTTTTGCATTGCTCATTTTACCTAAAAGTGGACTTCAAAATTTTTAATATATAATATATATTCTTTAATGTGACTGTGATATATCCACTAAGTAGGTATTTGCAAGTATGTATATTTCTCGTTGATTAATTTTTTTTTTTAATTATATACGCATCACTCCATATTAGTCGGCAGTCCTGTTGGTCCAACTATTAAGAACAGAAAATATAATTTTCACCGATCCCGCGATTCAAAAAGATTTCCATTTACCGCTACTGTAGATTTTCCCAAAAAGAGATAAATCTTACCTGTGGGTTATAATCCTCCATTCCATTCTTCCAAATATGACAAAGTTGGCTCTGGAGTTCAACAACCTCGTGTTTGTTCATTTGTTTTAAATAACCTACAATAAAACGACAGTTGTTGGTTTTTGTAACAAGCGACAATCGCTATGTTCATTTATTTCGGCATGGCTTACTAGATTCAACCCTTTAATAATTTTTAATGACAGTTTGCATATGTATCTGGGTTAAAATTAATAATTAAATTAAAGATTATGGATTTTTAGAAAAGTTTAATTCCAAACTTATATTTTCGCCACCGTCTTCAGTATTTGTCAGTTTTCTTGCACGTTGATTAAACTTGGTTCTTAATAGTTGGACCCGTAGGACATATCTCAAGTATTATAAAATTACGTTACACTTTTATACATTTCTCCTCTTATATCGAGGCCTGTTCTGACGATTTTGTAAGAGAATCTATGAATGCAGGATACGTCGACCGTAGGGCTTTCGAGTCGTCAGGGCAGGCCATTTTTGAGTGTAAATAATAACGAAATAAAAAATGGATAATGCTAACAACAAGGCTTGTTGAATAGCTAGGACCTGTTTGAATTTTTTATATAAATATAAGATATTAATATAGCGTAAGACCTTTTTAATAATATTTAACTGTAAAATGGAGATTTTATTATTGTACATTGTAAATATCGAGCACAGATGATTTAATAAATAATATTTATAGTTTTGGTTTGCTGTTTTTATTTTGGAACGAATTTGAAGAAATACTTTTTTAACTCGCTCTATAAAACGATATCCTGAGCTCAACAAAGGAATTGCAGAGGGATGACAAAGGATGTACCGTATCCAAGTTTAACAGCAACCATTTTGCTTCTGGAAGAGAACTGTATAAAAAAAGAAATTAAATTTACCCAATTCCAATATACTTTAAAAGAAACTAAATTGTAATCGATCCTTAGTTAAAATTTCAGTTGTTTACGCGTTAAGAGCCTATAGCAAATATGCAACCAGCAATACTTTTTCATAGATTTTATTAAACAGTTTGTCTAAATATGAATAAATGCACAAATAACAGACTTTCCTCCATTTTAACGCAAACTTTCTATAAAATGGAGTTAATTTGAAACTCAAATTACTTTTTGTTGTAAAGTAATTTGTAATTTGGCATCGTAAATTACAAATTTCTTTACAGCAAAAAGTTATTCGAGTTTCAAGCTAACTCCATTTTATAGAAAACCTGCTTTAGAATGAAGGAAAGTCTCTTATTTGTGCATTGATTCATATTTAGACAAACTGTTTAATAAAATCTATAAAAATGTATTGCTGATTGCCTATTTGCTATAGTGCCCTTTTAAATGTCAGACGACTTCCGTTGTGCCATTATTCCATGGTTCCATATCATCAAGAATGAGATATACTGCCTAGTTGTAGTTCAGAGGTCAGTGCGCATAAGATCAATATTATCTAGGCATAAGCTTCGAGCATATACTCCTAGAGGCAGCCTTCAGTGCTGAGAAAGCGCGACTGGTGTGCGAGAGAGAAAGGAGAATAAAAGGACATGCTATCTTCACGAACCGACCCATCAGCTCGCGGAGCGAGAGAGACAGCAAGTCCTTTTATTTTCCTTTCTCGCACACCAGTCGCGCCATTATTCTATGGCTAGAAATTGGCCTCAATGATTTGGGATCGAGGGGGATTATCCCTCTTTATCCTGCCTCATCTCGTGTAGGCCTGGACAGCCTTCGTAGGTGGGCCCCATCCGTCGTCTACCCCGACCGCAAATGCGGCCGGTGTAGGCGCTTTGTGGGACCTCCTTTTGTCCTGGCTGGGCCCCGCCGGCTAGGGCCCTTTCTTCTGGCGCTCTTCTTGCTTCGCCGGCTCGTCTGTGTAAACCCCGGGGGTAGTGTCATGTTTATGTGTGGTATGGTTGGGTAGGGTAGTGCGGCTATGCAGCCTGGGATGCGCTTTGCTAAGG